CAAAAAGTAAGTAAGAAACACAATGATGCAGGCTTTTCCGTCAGTCACCACAACACCAGAAAAAGTTGCTAGATTTGTCGCTAGTCGCTTTTGGGGGGGAAAAGTCACCAACAGGGTTTGGAAAGTCGCCAGATTTAGTGAGAAAGTCTCCAATTTGGCAACACTGGTTTAAATCTAATTCACTAATATTTCATAAAATTTCACATGATGCATTTATATTTTTGCTCAGTATATAACCAGCGGTCTTGCATGTCAGAATTAATTTAGATGTAAATTTATGTTAAAATGACACAGTTATGAACCCTGGGTTAAGTAACTCCTACACTTCTAGGTCCAACAGTCACATGACTGTCCAGGGCAGAAGCAGCACCTAAAGGATGAACGAATGCAGAATAAGCAGCTACAGAAATGAGAAAACACACACAGAACATTACCTGTTTGTCCAAGAGGAAGAAGTCTGAACTGAGCTCTTATTTCAGTTCCCAGAGGGAGACAACAGATCCCTAAAGCTAAAAACTGATAAGGACTGCAGACACCAACACGGTCACATGAAACTGACCCTCATCAAAGATTATGAAATGCATTACGACGATGATGCTGATGTTTGAATACTTAAATATTGAAGGACAAAATGAAGGATACAGAATAATGGTAAGTAAGGCCTACACTGTAGTCATGAGCTGGAAAATTAACGAGTAATACCAGTAGTCAGTTACACAACAATACTGAGGTTACTAATGTTAACCGCTGGAAGTCATAGCAACAAAACCTGTGAGTACTGAAGGTGTTTTATACTCATCATGAACTCTGTCTTTTTTCTGTAAAAGAAGTAGTATAATACTTCTTTCAAAGCGACATGGCCTCACTTTAATAATATAATCTTGTATATTCTACTGGTTTCGCAATTGATTATTGGCTCTATGTCACACCCAGTAACGATGTCCGACTCCTCCCTTGGATGAGGCACCACGTGGATTAATTAAGTGTTTCTGTGTCGGTTTCACAGAAGACATCTGGGCACATGTCACACTGGGATAATATAATTAAAGATGGCTGGATACCATTTTGCTTCTTCAGTTTCAGGGTCCTGATGTGGTGAATGCCAGCTCCCTGTCAGGGCTAACTGGGTCAAGGAATATAATGATGCCCCTGTTTATGTTACTAGTGCCATCCTACTGCTAATAGAAGAATAATAGCAGCTGTATAAATCATGTATTTCAATATTTTATCTACTTTAACAAAGCTGCAAAGTTCAAATAGTTAAAAACCTCATCCAGTGAAAATCAAGTCGTTTTTAACCTTTTTCAAACGTGCATATGTTGATTTTCATTGGCCCGAAGTTACATCATGAGATAAATAAGCAGTCTATGCCATGACTGCATATTTCCACCTTAAAACTGCAGGTTGACAGTTTTTAATTTCAGTTTAATTTCTGGTTCTTGCGTGTATGGCTGAATTACTTCAATAGTGTTTAAACAGAGTCGTAGGTGAGCTGGTGTGCTGAGCTGCAGTGAGTGAAGAGGTGTGGGTGGAGAAGAGGCAGGAGCTTCATAGATCTGCATATTCTCAAGAAAGCAAGAGTGTAGAGGTACATCTACATCACTGCAGGGCAGGAAAGGATTTTTTTTTCATTCAATAACTTCCAAACTTCGATACACAGAGACGAGATTTTAGGGGTTAAATCAACCCATTTAGCCTAAACTAGGCAAGATGGAAAAATGCAAAAACATACTCAATATAATAACGACAGAAGACATGGAGGTTTTATGTTCTTGCTTGGTTGCTATTGAGCAAACACTTTAAAGACAGGAGGGGATGGCTTTGGGAGTGGGTGGGTAACAATAGATTTCAAGAATAGAATGGCATTTGTCCACTATACTGTACATATGTACTGTACTGTACATTACAATTGTTGTATGGCTGTTAAGCAGTGAATGCAGGAGTTTTTAATACACGTCCGACATTCTTTAAAGAGCTGGGATCCCCTTTGGCTGGAGTACACACCAGCTGACTTGGTCCCTTTGATGGCGGTATTTCCCTTGGAAGGGAAACAAAAAAGCAGCACAAACTTAAAACACATGAAGTGGTTTTTTTTCTCTTTCTCACACATACATACAGTCAGGCATGAGCGCTTGGCACATGCACACACACAAATGTAGCATCCACTGCCCAAATCATCTCTCTCCAAGATACTCAAAAAAAAAAGAAAAGATAAATATTTGACTTCAACTACCCAGCAGAGGCTGGTGTTCCGGCTTTGTACAGTATTTATACCTGTATATTATATGCTATAAAGAATTTCTGTGACATTAAAATTTATTAAATAAGGGAAAAATCATTTCGTAATAACAGAGCATCCACTGCTTACACTGATTGTTATGAACTGTAAACTCATTAAGCAGCTAATAGATCGGAGCTTTAAGTCCACTGTGATATCCGTGAGGGTGCCTGGTTTCTTCTTATTCGCTTCAGCTTTCCAGCTCTGTAACGTTCCCTGATGCTGAGTGGTCTTCCGCATATTCCAACGTTCCCTTTTCTCTGTCCTCCTGCTCAGTGTCGGCGCTGAGTAAAGAGCTGCCAAGGCACTGTGGGAGCATTGGTGGCAGTTTAGTCCACAGAAGAGGAGCCCTTCCACTGATTTCTGGTCCCTCCCCTCCACCGCCTCCCTCTGGAGGTGGAAACACTGTACACGGCACTTGGGGACACTTCTTTGCAGACTTCGACAAAGAAAGGCTAAGCAAGAGTGCTTTGAGGAGAGGAGGTCAGTTGCCATTACGTTACCTCCCATTGAGAACATATACGCCTGCCAGGGAGTTGAATAGGGAGTGCTTTGGTGTCCCAGTGTCCTTCATACCATGAATTCATTACTGCCGTACAACACCACATGCTGCGGTATGTCTGGAGGGTCCCTGCCGTGGCCGCCTTCTTCTCTGGAGTGCCTCAGGGTTGAATGTCGGGCCCCCTTAAGTTTCTGTTTACCCTTCTCTGGATTGAAGGTGCCTCGGCTGGTGAACTGGGGCCTTTCATCATATGTGCCGTCCTGATCTGCTGTAGGGCTGCTGTCTAAGCTGTCGGCTCGAGTGGCTTGAGATGTGTTCAGAGCCTGGGCCTGGGCTGGACCCGAGCCCACAGTAGGAGATTTGGAATGGAAACGAAAGCGCCGGGTGGTGGTGGCGGACGAGGAGGAGGCGGACGAAGGGTGGTAGTGTGACGACGAGGAGTAGGAGGAAACACTGGAGCAAGAGTCTACAGAGTCCAAGGAATCGGGCTGCCGGCGGAGACCTCGGCGCCGGGGGCTTTTACCGTCAGATCTCCGTGGCCAGGGGGAAGTCAACGCTGGACCGCGCTCTGAGATGAGAAACAAAGACATGTCAAGTGTTTTCCTCTTTTTTTTCTCCCTACAATACACTACACAGGTGCATCTCCAAAATGTGTGTTCCTTTTTGTTTTTTCTTCATAATTTAATTCAAAGAGATAAACTTTCTTACAGTCTATATTCACTATTTATTAATCAAAATTTCTTTTTTTGTTTTAATTTTGATGGCTATAGCTCATGAAAATCAGAAACAGTAAAAACAGTAAAAATCCAAAAAAGTGTTTTCAACACATAAAGATAAGAAAGAACTTTGACGGAAAAATTTAAAACTCAGTGTTAGCAAAGAACAGCTCTAGACTGACTTGTGGTTATTGTTGCAGACAACTATATGCAAATCAGAATATGGTGGAATACATTTTAGTAAACCCACCAGGTTGGCTGTACAAGGGAGGTACTTGATCACTAATGCAAGACCTTAAACAATTAAAGTTATACACTGAATGAGGAGATTTTAAGTTTAAGGCCTACAGTTCAGTTCAAAGAATTTCCCAACTTCAGTGATCTCGCTATGAGTCTGACTCATACACTGAAATCTGAGACTTAAAACTACAAATTGAGGCCAAAAACTTATTAGGAAAATGTTTACTGATGCGACAAATCAAGTGAGAAGTAGAGTCACTTTCTCATAGACTTTTATAAAAATTGACTCATTTTTGCAGCCAGAAGAGTCGCCCCCTACTGTCTGTTAGAAAGAATGCAGGTTTAAAGCACTTCCATGTTGGCTTCACTGTTTCAGGCCTGCAAACTATGTCCATCTTGTCCAACTGAAAGGTGAGTCATGATGTCCTGTATAATGACGTACCAGAGAAGTCAGAAATGGTTTCCTCAGAGTCCACGTTGAGGTTTTCAGAGCTGTCAGCTGTACCGATAGAGGCCTCTGACTCCAGGGTCTCATCATCTGATGCTCGTGGCTCCAGAGTCAGCATCTCGAAAGTCAACTCCTCTCTGTGAAGACAAACATTATCCAGGTTAACAAATGAGCTGAGGACCAGCGATGAGATGGAGCTAGCATTAGTAATACACACAAATTGTCAGTTGTTGTTCTGATGCACAAATCCAAGGTTCTCAATTGTGTGTATTTTGAAAATCATATTAGCATTTTAAGTACTTCTCTTTCTGCAGGTTTTCTATTTGTTCCGTCAACACCCTCTCTTCCTGCTGCATGGCGGCCTGCTGATGCTCTGAGATTTCGGTGAATGATTCTGCTCCTTCTTCACCGCCACTCTCTTCGATGACGGCGTCGGCCACAGACGGCAGCCGAGGACTGACCGGAGGTGAGGGAGTGTGGTAGCTTAGTCGCTGTACGTGGCCTTTTCCCTGAGGAGCAAAACAAGGGCAGATGTTGTCTTCTCAGTAATGTGAATATTACATTTGTGCTTCATTAAAAAAAAACCCCACTACAGTACGTTACACCATTTCTATCAAGCAGCTACTCCCTTGCACATGCAGTGACTGAACCACATGACATAACCAGCCAAGTTTAAAAGCAGTACTGATGAAACCCAAAGGTAGACACAGCACAACGTCACACAAACTTTACCTTTCTAGCTGCATTTGGCTGCTTTGAGTAAAAATGACAAGAAAAACAATAGAAGAATCAGCAACGCCACATTTATAATCGTCAGCTTAAATGTAACAATCTGCCAACATCAGTGGTTAATTTGCTGCTTTATTACAGCTGAAAGTGGCTCCAACAGTAGTAATATACTGTTGTGCGATATTGTTATGGTATTTGCAAGAGAAATGTACAAGGAGTGGATTAATGAGACGCATAAAAAAGCCAGTTATGATATTTGTCCTGAATTTATCTAGAAACAGTAATAAAAAACATTAAATCACATCTAAACTGGTCAGTATGTGCTAAAATTATGAAAATGTTTTCATTTCTCTGAGGTATTAAGTCAGAAAATATGCTGAAAATGTTTACTTTTTATGTTCCATACTCCACATAACATAAAACAAGCTAATTAGAAGCAACAGCATAACTGCACAATGTCGTTACTTTTAATCACATGAGACGGTAACAGAATATAGTCTGACAACAGCAAAAAAAACAAAAACAAAATTAGTGTTGGGATGACTCATGCTTTGTTCGGGGATGGAGAAAACAAATGTTAATATTTGATGAGATGAGACTGTGCAGTGATCATCATCACAACAACATCACCACTGGATGACGGGTCGGGGATGTAATCCGCAGTGTGTGTATACATACCATAATGTGCGCTATGCTCATAAATCTAACAGCTATTAGTACTGGTCTCTGGGTGAAGGAAAAGACATGTTAGGGAGCAGATTCTAGAGAGGAGAAAAGCTGCTTAGAAAGGAGGAAATCATGGGAGGTAAAGCAGTGCAGGAGGCTTCAGGATTGCTGAATCAGCAGTGAGTCTCTGTACATATGTGAGTGCTGCATTAACTTACCATCGACCGTCGAATGAGGGTCAGTTTGCACTTGGCCTTATTCTCAGCAAACTCCAACGTGTTGATGTCCTTTAGTCGCACTTTGTACTTATTCATCTGTTCACAAATGATGAGTTCTACACACCTGTGGAGGAACGGCGAGAGACAAAACCACTTCAGCATCACTGGAAATACAACGCCTCAGTAAAACTAGTGTATGTTCACGTCTGTGTTTCTAAACACATTATGCATGTCAACATATTCAACTTTGACAGTGTGCATCTGTGATTTCACGTCTAACTTGTTTGGTTTAGTTGAAACTAACTGAAGTCTGTTTGTCTGGTCAGTATGCTTCATGTGGGTTCGTGTGAACGCTGTCAGTGGACACACACACCCACAGTACTGCTGATTTTTTCACCATTTTGAAACCTAATTTTACATACTTGCACATTTCTTTAATGATTCAAACTTGCCTGGGTGGTTAATAACACATTATTCTATGGTGTGACAAATCAGAAACCTTTTCTAGAAAGTTTGATTCATACGGTACAATATGAGGCTACTTGTTCCAAAGTATTCAGGCTCTACTGCTGTTTACTTTACCCACTATTAGTGCCTAATACCAGGATAGTAATTATACTTTCCGACACAAAAAACACAAGACTGCTACAGTGACAGAACTACTAGTTCAGTTTTGACTGACATGTTCCCTTGTTGAACATCACATTTGACATTTTGTCCTCTCAGTCAGAAATCTGATTGTTCTTTTGTGTGTCTGGAAAAATCTCTCTAAACTAGATTTTAGAGTTTTTTTTTATTGTTCTCACATGAAGCAGATTAATTTAACTGAAGACACACTTTTAGTTTTTCCTTCTGTGTGTCATGTGTGTCCCCATTCCAATGCCCGCCCCACGTCTTTCCACTACATTTAGGTCATGGCACAGAATTTAAGTCACAGACGTCGAGTGAATTCTTACGCTGTCGTCTTGCTGATGTCCTGAACACTCTGCAGTGGATCGATGGTGTCGGGGCAGCGGAGGATGCAGGGAGCGAAAACTATAGCCAAGGCATTAGCAGACATACGGTTTGTGTCCTCTTGCAAGGCGATCCTGAAAGCAGGAAGTCAGAATGTGAATCATGCATCAGGATGGAAACAAAGCGTGTATTAATCCTACCATGACGACAGATTGCTTCATTACCTGACAAGATGAAATATGAGGCGCTCCAGAGTGTTTAGGTGAGTTCTGCTGAGCTGGTCGATGACTGAATATACTCCTCTGATCATTTCCTTTTTATCCTGCAAACCTGAGGACCCACAAAACATTTACTGTCACGGCATACAAATATATCCTCTTCTGTCTGAAGTATGCAATAAAAAAGACTTGAAGATGTTGGATAGCTGGTGTCCACTACTTACCCATGGCGCGTATGAACTCCTCGTAAAGCTCAAATGTCATCAGAGGGTTGGGCAGGTCTCTCAGCCACTGCTTGAAGACGCTCGCAATGACGTGGATGTTGTAGTCGTCCAGATTCATGCTGTCCACATCTGTAGGAGAACGCAGACAGACCACACCAAAGCTCAGTAATCACACTTAATCCTTTCCCTCCCGCGTTAGTCAGCTTTAAAAGCCAGCGAGCGTAAATCACCTGCTGGCCGACCTACAGCTAATCACCTGTGTCGAGGCCCTGCTTCAGCTCCTTGATTTTGTTGGTGGAGCCGGATTTTCTGTAAATTCCTTCGGTGTAGAGGCCGTGCATCTCGATGTAGTTGATGAGCTTCTCCACTACCAGCGGCACCGTCCTCTCGTCATTAGTCAGACGAGAAACTTCCACTCCGAACTGTCTGGAGGAAAGCTCCGGATCAAACTGCTCACAGACACAAACATAACAAACCCTCATGAAAACATGCAGATGTTTTCTAAAATGCATGCAAACATCGATAACGCTCCCAAAAATACAATCTCAGCCTGCAGACTAACACAGCAGGCAGCAGAATTAACAGTAGCTACTGTACATAAACCCGCAGTAACACAATTAATGTCACGGGATGTTATTGTGAGGGTGCACAATATGGCCAACTCACCTTCTTGCTGCATTTGGTGGTCGTCTTCTGGCAGCACTTTCTGTGGCAGGCGTAGCGGCACACTGGATAAACACAGCCAGAGAGATCAAACAGGTCATTTCCATTATCCACAGAAAGGCAGTGTCTCCTCATTATTCAGCTCGAGTTGGGACCAAAGAGAAAAGAAAAAGTGTTATTGCTGCAGAGACCAAAGCGGTGTTGGCTGGCATGAAGAAAACATCCTGTGTGAATAAAGGACAAACTGTGTGGAGAAGTCTCTGCAGAGATGGAGCCGCAGACCCCATGAGTCCAGTTGAAGACAATCTGATTAGGGCTGAGGGCGGTACTCGAGCTCTGAGGCCAGACTGAACACAGCTCGGACACAGATTTAGCGTTTTTATGTGCACAAGTTCATGTGAGTGTCCACACAGATGTTTGTGTGCACATTCGGTCACAAAAACTCGGCCTGAAAAGACGTTTCTGTCACATTACACTGTCTGACAGTAAACGAATTTAGGCACCCAATGAATATCCCCGAGTTCTCATGTCGTGTAAATCAGATTATTCCGTCCCAACTTCCTTTTGCGGACAAAAATCGAGTCCACACATCAGTAAAGATTCAATTTAGGCTGGACATTTGGTTTAAGAGTTTGGTAATATCCGGTAATGTAAGTCAGTGTAATTGTGAGGTGATGGAAACATGACTCAGTGTGTGTAGAAGGGCTTTCAACACTCACTGGTATGAGTTTTATAAAGATTTAAATTATTTGGACTTTTCACCACCCAGAACTTGTTTGGTGAAATTTAAAGACTAAAACTTTCTTCGCTGTTTTCACCCGAAAATGTTTCAGGAGTAAATCTGAGATTTGTTTGCCTCAAGTCAGGCAGAGAAACAGTACGACAGCTAACCTGTTGATAAAATTCATCTAGTTGGTCTATAAAACCCCATCATGACCTTCCAAAATCTTAAGAGAAGCTACAATGAATGCCTTGTGGTGGTTTTCCTCTGCCAAACACTGAAGTGGCTGTTTGCATCTATGTCTGTCCAGACTCATACAATACATGTAGCAAAGACTTGGAGGATTTCAATAGGTTGGCACCCAAGACTAGTGTCACCAAATCAGCATCCAACCAAATGTGAAATATAGTCACAGTTCTGTTGTCCCTTCTGTTGAATGATTCATTTGCATTTTACAGCGCTTAACATAGTAAGGTGAAGCCCTTACACATTTTTTAAACAGAGAAGCCAACAATACAAAGTTGCCTTTGGACCCCCTCTGACCAGGTGGTCGGCAATGGTGGGAACCAAAAAAAAATAAAAAATCCACAAAGGGAGGGGAAGAAAAAAACCTCAGACAGAACCAGGCTCAGGAAAGGCAGCCATCTGCCTCGACTGGTTGGGTGAGAGTGGGGATGAGAGGGTGGGGACAGCATAATGACCAGAGAGATGTTCCTACAGAACAACACAGTGTCCTAATTTATGGCCAAAAGCAGGTTTGTTGAGGTCACAGTGAGCAAATCTAGACACTTAAGGAAGTGGGAGCAACACTATTTAACTTAATAAATGACTTAACTTGGTTATTAAAATAATTGAAGGTTAATTTTCAGTCAACAGAATGATCAATTAACCATTCCTGCATCCTGGTTTAATAAGAAAAAAATACAACTTTCAACTCAATCCATGGCCCCTAAACTGTACATTCAAAGTAGGTTTTCTAAGCCGTATGAAATTTAGTGATTCTCAGCGTTATGAATTGCAGGAGTGACATTTTGCATTCACACCTACATTTGCAGACGCAGGCGCGGTCCATCATCCAGATGAGCGACGAGCAGTACTCGCAGTACGTGGGGATGCTGTACTGTGTGGACTTGAAGATGTGGCCATTATGCTCCTCCACCTGCAGAGAGCAGCAGAGCACAAGTTCATCTGCAGTTCTCCTGCATGTTTCCTTTCACATTTCTTTTGATTGATTCATTTAATTATTGTGTCATGCACAAATAATACATCCAGCATGAACACGCTTAGAAAAAAACATTATTAAGAAGAGGAAACTAGAACAAGAGAAGCAACACAAAAGAACAAAGAACACTAAACAAATAAACCATCTGGATGTTTTATTTTTTCCCAAACTTGAGAAACAGATTTTTATGTATGGTCTCCTTATAATTAATTTTTCTATTTTTCTTCTTTGTCTAATCTTTCTTTTTTTATTTTATCGCTATTTTAAAGGGCAAACTGAGGTGTAGAAGTCTGGCTGTGTTTCCTCTAATATGATCAGGACCATGTGCTTGCTGCTGATGTAAAAAAAAACTTACAATGTCTGCGTCCTTCTTCCTCCGTTTTTTACGCTCAGGTTTCGGTACCGGCTGCAAAGAAAGAGACAATTCAGAATAACAGCTGGGTATCAATATTCATCAATACATGTTAACATAATGTAAACCATTGACAAAATCTCCACCCAAGAAGGCTGATGCACACCTGAGCACATATGTGACCAGTCTGTAAAAAAAATAACTTTCCCTACTTGTAAACAATCTTTTTTCTTAGTGGATCCACAACAACAAATGAACACATATTTCTTTAATGTTACCATAAAACAGAATGAATTCAAAGTCCTCTACCAGGTTTAACAACATCCATAATTCCAAACTATTTCTAATCTGCGGTCTGGAGGCTGTTTCTCGTCTTTACCTTGGTGACTGCACTGTCCATAGGTTTGTACTCAGTCATGAACTCATCCAGGAAGACTTTGAAGGTGTTGACCCACACTTTGACAGGAGACTCCCTCCAGTCCCTCTGCTCCTGCCGCATGGTCTTCTCCAAGATGTGCTCAAACAGAGCGTAAAGGTCTTTGTAGCGGATGCTTTTCCCATCGTCCATCTAAGAAGGAACACAGTGGTGTCACAAAAAGAGCCCAGAATTAATGTTGTAGTAGAAAAGATCTAAAAAGATTTTTTTTAAAAGTTGCACTCAAGCACCACAATCAAGATGAAAGACAGTAACCCACACAGGTTACTATGAACCACTACCTGTTTATTGATTTGAATTTGCTCTTGAAGATTCCTTCATCTCTGCTCTGATTTGTGGGCATACAACCAATGCTAACGGGAACGTTAGCCACTTTAGCTGTGCAAGGTGCTAACACTATGATTGTAAAGACATTGCCATTAGTGATAAAAGTAATCCACTGGCTCTTCATTATCAAATGCTAGGGGTGTATGACGACTCTTGTGTTCACTCTTACAGCCAACAGCAGAACATTTGATGTGCTTTGCTTGTAGTCGAGACATTTTAGAGTTATCATAAGAGTAAATAAAGCTGGAGTACCGTAAGGCAGCTGCTTATTCTAAAAAGCTAACCTGGAGGCAGTGAGCAGTAGGGAAGCAGGACTTTGCACATCTTTAGCTGGGCGACATTTGGTCACACTGTTTCTTTGTAGAAACTTAAAAAAAATAAAAAATCTTATTGGCCTAAAAAAAGTTGCTGGTGCATCTCGTTGAGCGCTAGAGGAATGGTAATGCTAAGGAAATGTATATTTTTACAGGTTTTATTTTATACTTTAATAGTTTAAAACATACAAAGTAGAACATACGCAGATTTTTTATTACATCGGATCTCAGAAGAAAGTGTTTTAACTTGGAGTGATGTATATCATGTTGACAGCACTTACTGCGAGTGCTGTGGAGTAAGAGTTGAAGATGTTTAGTCGGAATTCCTTCAGAGCCTTTTTAAACACAACGTCCACCATGGTGTCCTTCTTGCTGTCCTCCGTGTCCAAGTCATTGATCTAAAACATGATGCCACAATCATCACAGCACGGAAAATGAACTACATGCAGGCCTTAGAATGAAAACTCAGTTACTCTCCTTGTGCAGAAGTTTAGACGCTCAAGTTCACCTGCAAGTTACATAAAAACTTTCACTCATATGTGTCCAAAGAACAAGAGAGATCACGTACCTTCTTCATTAGGAAGTCGTTCATGCTCCTGTAGTCGTTGGTGCAGGTGAGGATCTGCAGGGCGTCGTTCTGCCACTGAGCTGGTTCCAGAGCCACGCTGCTGATCTTAACGCTCCGCCGTCGCTTCACTTTAGGAGACGGCTCCTTGTTCTCCTTCAAGTCTCTGAACCCTCGATCCAACGTCAGATCAGGACTGCATGGCGGCGACATGTTTTCCTGACCTGCTGTGTGGAGGGGAATGATGACAGAAGTATAGGGCCAAGTGAGACGATTAAACTTTAGGTAAAATATTATATAAAGCGGATTTTGGCATCTAACACCTCCCACTGTATCATTTTTGATTTGAGAATATTTGTGTGGAGGAATCGCACCATCTCCCAGCAATGGCCCAGTGTCTCCATAGTCTCCATCCATGGAATCAGCACCACAGATCAGCTTTTCTCTGGATGTCTTCTTATCGCCATACTTGGTCTTGCCCCAGAAACGCATCTTACCACGAACCCTGGTTGATAAACATTCAAAATAGAAACAGCTTTCAATTATAAGTGGTAAATTAATCTTTTATAAAAAATCTATTACGTACGAGACATAAACAAAAGATGCTTGGGTGTTCAGGTACAAACCTTCCATCTTGCGAGTTCTTGCGAAGCGAGTCCACTTTGCCCAAATCTCCTGACGACATGGCTTTGTGTATCTTCTTTTGCTCCTCAGAGCTTCCAGGCTGAAACAACATCATGTCAGATAACATGTTAAAGACGTAGCACACTGGAGGACAAAGCTCTCTGTTATTTCCATGTGGTTTAAGTATATCATGATCTGAGTACACGTTGAAGCCAGTAGATGGCACCATCACATCACTGGTGCTGAATCACTACAGTTTACATTTACCAGAGCTCTTCTCAATATCAGCAGAACTATAAATCCTATTTGTAGTAACCATGGCAATTAAAAAGAAACAGCAGGACAAATAATACTTTAAAAAGTCCTAAAAAGTTTACAATGTGAGTTCTCCCAGGAAAAGACAGCAAGAGTTTGTTAGGTGATGAAGAAAGTCAAAAGCGAATCATCCTTTTTCAAGGATTTCCAAGGTTTGACAAGTGACTAGTGCTATGTGCTAAAAGAAGAAATGTAACCAAGTGACATGCAAACGCTGCTAATTAACCAGGAAAGAACCAGGAACAAATCAAAGGAGAAAAATCCCTGTTACAGCTGTGAGAGAAAGAGAAGCTAAATTATGTTAGAAAAGCAACTATGTTAAAAAGCGGATTGTTTTTGGGGAAAATACATTTCAAAATTCAAAATATACTTGAAATATATACTGTGCATAATGATGTACAGGATATATTCAAATTCAATGTTGGTTTCTGGAGAGGATGTCAAATCAATAAAGTTTTATTGCGACAGCCTTGAATTCTTGTCTTTTTAAAAGCTGACAGAAAATCGCTGGATGTTTATATGAGAAATATAGACTTTATGGTCTATTACACGTTTTAGCAGGTGTTTCAAAATGCCTTTGAAATACCTGCCTTGAAATACCTTTGAAATGTCTTCCACTTATAAGAAAAGTTACAGAACTCTGAAAAAAGAGGAGTTTGTTGAAGGTGTGATGCAGACCTATGCTGGCTCTGCTGAGTGGGTTAGAAATGTCAAAGAGAAGCCACGCTACAAGAAGAGGGCCACTGGTGGCTCGGATGGCGCCTGTTACCATGTCTGAGTCACTGAAACAGGACTCTCTTAAGCCTGCCTCCGTGGAGCTCTGTTTGGAGAGGGGCAGGGTGTAATGTCGGGGGCTGGGGAGGCTGTCGCCATCATAGTCATCCTCGTCTGAATCGCCCCCAACTGAGAGGGTGGGGGCGCGGGTGAGGAAGTCGGAGCGGGTCCGTGCCATTCTGGCTTTCTTTTTTTGGCCAACTCTGCCAACCTGGAGTTTACCAGAAGTGATAACAGCATGTTTACAAGGTGCCTTTAGCGATCTGTAGAAGAACTTCAGTGCATTTTGTTCCTCATGTCGGTCAGCTGAGGGGGACCTTAGTGTATGAATAGGAGCTATAACGTCAAGATTCATTAATTTATTCATGACAACAACAACAAAAAGCACTCATGCACATGCTGAATGAAAATTGTTTTAAAAAATTACAAAGGGAAAGAAGGAGAGATTGCTTACATCCCGTCCTTTCACTCCTTTAGAAGGCTTGGGGACTGGTGCTGGTCCTTCTCTGGGAACAGCTGCAGGAGTTTTGTCTTTACTGGCTGCTTCGCCGTCAAAACTGATGGACCAAAAGAGAAAAACATGCACATTAGGAGCCAATGTTATTAACGTACAGCAATGAATCCCAATGATGAGCTATTAAGCAGATGTAACATTGTGTATCATTAAATACACACTTTTTAATGGTGCTGCATCTTTCAAACTTGGCCTCAAATCAGTATTTACTATTATTATTCCAAAAAGAATGTATGAGATATGTTTTCAAGCAACTTGAACCTTTAAGTTGTTCTGGCTGTGAGAACCTCCCCTGTAGAGCCTCTTTATAGAATTCATGAATCTCAGTGAAGGCTTTTGGTTTTAGTGTGCCCCATCTGGCCACCGCTATGAAAAACTTCTGGAGGTGCTACTAAATGTCATTAATTCAGCAGGCATTTGGCTGCAAACCCAAGTATTGGATTTAAATTTTGACCAGAGGATGATGCTGCGAAGAAAGAGCTAAGGGACCACAAAAGTAACACAATAGTTGTCAAAACATTTCACTCTGGCCCATTTTCAAAGAAGAAAAAAGTACGACTGTGCTTGACAGTGATTGGTTAAACTCAGGAAGAACAACGAGCACCATTTTTCTGCCCTTCCAATGTCCTTGTTGAGTAGCAGTCCATCAACAGCAAAACCTTTACCATATAGGCTTACATAAGAAACCAGCCATTGTTGTATTTTCTATATGCAAATAAAACTGGAGCTACGACCAGTAACTAGTATTTGCCAATGTTTTGGTGCTCTTGGAGGTAACATTGAGGTTGAAAATGCCACATCCTACACCATGATGGAAACAGAAATGCTAAAAGAGCCGAATAGGGGTCCATTCTTGTAAAAGTTTCTGCCACCTATCACCTTGTTTCTACAGTGTAATGCTGTCTAAATACAGGAAAAACTAAACAAACGCAACATATTCAATACTCACTTTGTAAATGTGACTTTGTCCTTTGGAGAGAAGAAGATGTTGCCTGGTTTATCCGTCATGCTAACAGCGGTGCCTTGACTACTGGGTGGCTTCTTGGCAGCTGCTCTCGCTCTGGTTCCATCTCTGGACTCCAGCGTGAGTTTGGGCGCCCATCCTTCAGCAGCAGGCCTGACCTCCTTACGCCTTTCTCTGGGGGCAGAAGCAGGTGGAGGAGGCAGCTGTGGATGAGGGGAGCTTCTACGGCCTTCTGAGCCCGACTCTGACTGCGTTCTGACATGAGGAGCCGCTCCTGCCACTCTCTCAATCAGCAGCGAACTGGGTCTGATGGGTTTGCTGGAGGTTGCAGTTGCACCGAGGTCTTGTCCAACCTGCCGACTCTGCTGGATCCTGTGCAGCGCCTCTCCTCTCTGTTTCTCAAACATGTCCCTCTCGTACTGGGCGAAGAAAAGCCGCTGTCGCTCCAGAACTTCCTTCTGCTGTCGAATCTGCTCCATCATCTCCTTTTCGTTCTGCTGTTGCTGGTTTCGCTGCCTCTCCTCTTTCTCCTCGTTCAGTCGCACCAGCTTCTCTATGACGGTCTGGTCGGCCTGAGGGACGGCAGCAGAAACAGCAGCAGGGTCTGGTTTCTGTTTGGAAGGTGTTGAATCCCCCGTCTGGGCTGCAGAATCTCGGACTTCCACGGGGGGACAGGCGATACCACCCAGCTCTTCGCTAAGTGGCGTTTCTTTCTGCATGCTGATGACCACCACCACTGGCCGACGTGCTGACTCTCGTCTCTCTTTGACAGGTTTGGCGACGGCAGTGGTGCTTGTAGAGACGGTTGCCTCTTTGTTTTGTTGAGGCTCCTCAGTGGGATGATGGGAGATTGCTGCGCTGCCCTCGCTAGCAGGGACGTAAAAGGTTGGGAGGTAGTTCTCGATCTTGGGCGGATGTGTGGGGGCTGCTAGATCCATTTTGGTTGGGCTCTGGCTGCCTTGTGGGGCATCAGAAACCCCTGTCTTCTGCGGTTCAGCTGGCTTTGGGCTTGTTGAAATGACCTCCAAGTCAGGCTCAGATGCTGGAGCGACTGGGGGAACAGGGGAACAGGGGTCCTCGCTGTCTGTCACCTCCTCGGTCGCCTTGGGCGGCTCCTCATCCATCATGAGAAGCTCGAAGCTGCCTTTGGAGCTCTGGCTGTCGGGCGTGCCTTGTGGAGAACGAATGGGTGGGCTCGCTGGGGGCACCAGCTCAACAGACCAGCGACGTTGTTCCTCAGAAGGCGAAGAAGCTCCGCCGCTATTCGCCCGAACCTTCAGGAGCTCCAGGCTGAACTTGGCCTGCTCCAGCTCTCTCATCCGCCGGCTCTCCCTCTTGGCCCGGGTGGTTTTCTGGCTCGGCTCGTCCACAGTTCTGGCTCTCTCTCGCACCACCACAGTGGACGCTGGGACTGAGGTTGGCGCTTCAGTTTGAGCTTTTGTCGTAGCATCTTCTCCTTCTCCGTCCTCCTTGACCGCATCCTTGTGGCTGCTAAGGATCTGGAGGCTTCTTTCTCGCTGCTCATAGGAACGATCTTCCCAAGTGCTGAGGTCCAGCCCCATGATCCTCTCAGGTGAGTCCTCCTCTGGTGAGAGGCTCACCTGGCCATTCTGCAGCTGAAGCAGCTTCTCCTCCTGCTCCTGTTTCTCCCTCAGTCTCTGTTCTCTCAGTTTCTTGAAGCTGCAAATCAAATAGATTACAATGTTAGCTGAAACTACCTTCTATGCCCATTACTCAGCAAAAGTTATTCATGACTAATTTTAACTACCCCAAGTTTTCACCAAAGTTAGAGTCCGATACACGAACTCCTGCTCTCAGCTGATTGTAGAGCTGCTTTGGGTTGGATTGTTTGCGTAATGGTATGCTCCCACCAAGCACAGTCTGTTTGCACACTGAACAATGCCCAAACACATTGCAGGAGCTGTGTGCAAAGATTAATCTGGTTTTTCACCAGCTTTAGCAAAATCATGCAGTCAACTACCCTTAGAAGCTATTTTCAGAGCAGTGAGCCTTAATAAGCAAGTTCAGATATTTGCCTTTGCTTGCTGAAATCATGTCTACCTCCGTTTTCTAGTGACAGATGTCTATCAGTGTGGCTTACCTCTGCCTGGTGAGGTAGCCTCTGCCCACTGCCTGTAGTTGTAGGACAGCAGCGTACAGGTGCAGGTAGGCCTCTCTGGCTCGATGACAGCGCCAGGCTGTCTGAATAACCAGAGCTGCCGTGCAGCGCCGACAGAGCCACAGCCTCCAAGCCCTCTGCAGCACCAGAGCAGCTTCCCTCCACAGCCTGAACCTCTGGCGCTCCCTGTAACCTCGCCAGTGCGTCTGCAGGCACAAAGCTGCCCCCTCCTGGACGCTGGGGTCATAGTCCTCCTCGTCCTCTTCCATGGATCGGTACGAACGCCACCATTTCTGTGAGGAAGTCATGATGATGATGATGGGTCATTTGTAACATGACTTATTTTCATGTTCAGTAGTTACAGAAACCCCATTAAAAGTATAAGCATCTTTACTCAAAAGGCAATTTCAGCGTTCTTAGTCTGGGATTGGAAATTAAATGAAATTCCAGCTCTACTAAGCATATTTAGTAAGTGAGGAACACACTGGTTTCAACTGTATACTATTTGAACTTTGACACAGATTTCAGAATAAAGTACATTTTAAAACTAAATAAACTGAAACTCAAACATCCTTGATAGCTTTAGATAGATTTAATTTGATAACTATTCTCGTGCACTTTACTTGGACTGGACATGATGGGTTGGCCAAATTAATATCATACAAAAAAAGTATTTTCACCTGCTCTGTAGCAATACTGCAAATATAAACAAAATCATATTTAAGCTTTAGGATTCTCTCTCCACCTTTTTGCACTTGTATTTTTATTATGAGTGTAATTAATTTGCCAAAAAAGAGACAAAAAATGCAATCAACAAAGTTAAAGAGAAATTATTTTGGTCACAACAATCGTGCAGTAAAAATATGACATTGTGACGCCCGAATTGTCATCATCCAGCCACTGAAGGAGCATATTCCACAATAAGAACTCCCGCAGAAGGAAAACGACTTAGACGGAGATAAGAGCAACGAAGAGAAAAACTACTTTACTGTACCTGGATGCAGATGGCTGCCTCCCTCATCCGGACAAACTGCTTCCTCTCCAGCCGAGCTCTGAACCGCCGCTGCAGCATGACGATGAGTCGGAGGACTTCCCCGTGGAGCAACGCCTGCACCCGCTGACGCTCAGCCTCCCGTAAAAACACCTGAGGGGAGGGACCGCCGTGAAGTCAGCACACATGCTTACAAAGACATATACTCACATTCTCTAAAAAAAAAAAAAGCCTCACAGTGAATCAGACACACGAACCTCAGGCATCTCTGGCCGGATACATGGTCACAAGAATGTCAGGTATGATCCTCTAATTATATAGACAGCCTGGACCCCTCCATCAGGTCCCACTCATACGGTGGACATACACATCAAATATGGGACAGTGTCTACATTACATCCTATTTTTCTAAGGCAGGATGCTTTTGGGTAATATGAGGTTATCCCCAACACTACACTTTGACCATGTTATTTATAGCTGGTGGCATTTAGGGGTTTAATAAACTCAACATTCTTTTGAGTAAATCATTCTTAGGTCTTGGATGCAGCAACAGGCAGTACAATAAACAACATACAGTATAATTAGCTTCCATATTTTCTTTTCACCACCTAATAGAAAGAATTGGCTCATCCTGCCTTTGCATTTCGCTTTCATATTGTGACTTTATGTACATTAACCCTCTGAATCCCAAGCAGCTTTCTTTTGCTCATGTCACATCATTTTTTTAAAAACTGCAATATAAAATCCTGCACTTCTATTCAAAGAGCCCAACCCTGGCTAGACATAGAGAGAACGCAAATGCAATAAATCATAATAGAGTAAAAAAATATTATTAATTTCTTAGATTATTTCATAAATTTTTTTTAAAATAACATTAATTTATACAATGTTTTTCTTCCTGCCCACAGGTGTCACGAACACTGAAACTAAAACTGATGACTGTACATACTGTAGATATTTTACTACTTACATTTTTATTTCTCATCCATTCTTACTCTCCTATCTGCTCTGTGTAAACACTGCCTGCAGTTAAACCCAGTTCAGCTGAAAAGTCCCTGATTTTTTGGTATTTCATTGTTGATTGCAGCTAAATCCTTCACGGCTTGACAGCTGCGTCGAGTAGCATAGAATTTTTCACAGAATCTGGTTAAACGGTCTATTTATGATAAATCTTAACACATAAAGTAAAGTGATTTTAATGAAATATCACAATTTAAGATACAATTTAAATGTCAATATAAAGGCACATGACAGATGAGCAGGTCAAGAACTGTTAGATGACTGAATTCTTTCTGTTTTTACAGTTTCTGGCTCTGATAAATGGTGTGATTTGGGGAAATCTTTGCCTTTTAAACCCACCAGCAGGTTTTGGGCATCAGAGGGTTAATGAATCCTGATATTCCTCTTCATAAAATGATGGCTAAATGCTTTCCTCATACCATATGTCTTATATTTTCAGGGATAATGTGCCTCATTAAAAACAGATGTTTTATTGTATAAAATTGATTTAAAGGAACTGCAACGAGGAGGGAAGAGTAACTACCATGGTCTTTCCCACTTGGTAGCCATCAGGCTGCAGGTCCAGCTGGTCCAGACTCTGCTGGATTCCTTCTCTGGTCGCCCTGGTGCCCTCTGGGAGCAGCACACAGAAGTGATGGACAAAATCCTACCAAGAAAGCAGACAAGATGTTCATGAGAAGTGTATTTATTACCCCCACAGCTCTGTTTGCTCAGGATTACACGTTTGTGTCATGTGCACAAGATTTCTGTGCAGTAACGTGTCGAACAAAAGCTTTACGTCAGCGAATCTGTTAAAGCCTTCAGCTTGTTTTTTTTTTTTGTAGCGGTACAGGATTAACTGGTTGGGGATTAACTTGAAATATAACTCTTGACAAGCAGCAGAAACTGGAGCAAACTTCTCGAACATCTCTTGCACAGTCGAAAGAAAAAAAAAAAAGCTGTCAAGGAACATGTGGTTTCAGGTAAAAGCCCATGCTGTCCATATTTGCAGGGGTTCAAACATCACGGCATAAATATGCTGAACTCCCACTCTTCAAACTGAGGCTCATTGTCTGAATCCAATACAATCTGCACCCTGGGCCGCAGGGGGTGGACAGGGAAACAGATGCCGTGTTTATACAATTACAAGCATGGGGAGTGTTTCGGAGACCCGAGGACAATGGAGAGGCTCTGTTCAGTCCTCCGAAGTGACACCACGCCGAAGATATTTCTCATTAGTGCTGAGCGCAGCGCTAAATATGTTTGGAGGAATTTCTGGTAAATGAAGACGTCTGATGCTAACATTACCTGAGTGAGCTCATCACAATACTTGTGCGGTTTTGTGCTCTGTTTTGTAAATCCTACTGTAAAAGGTCGAACCTCACGAGCAGCAAAATATAAATGATCGTTTTTACATTTTCAGTTGTTAGAGGGAGCAAAATCCTCACAAATAACAACATATAAAGCATTGTTTCACTTTAGTTTTCAAATTGTAGTGAGATTTATTTTCCAGAAGTGGGAGAAGCACTCACACAACAATGCAAAAACATTCTGTTACAAGACAAATTCCTGCATTTAGCTGCTATTTCTGGAAAGGCAGAAAGATGAATTGGCAAGCATTCAAAATAAACTGGATAATTTCTCCTCTTTGGGCATCGATGAGACGTTTAAATGAAACCATCTGAGATTTTTAAAACACAAAAACTGTCTCTTTAGTGGAACTTCTAACAACGCAGAGACAGTTTTTGTGTTTTAAAAACCAAACTGGTTGTGATTCTCATCCTGAATCTTTTTGCAATGCATGATGTTATAAAGGATTATACGATATGAGCCTTTATTGATCCCACAGTGGGGAAATTCACATTTACTTAGAGCAGCAAGGGGATAGTGTAAACATTTTTTTAAAAATCACACGTTCTCATGAGTTAAAATCCTCTCCAGGCACGTTCAAAGGTGTATGAAGGATTTTTAAATGAAAAAAAGTTCAGTTACCTGCTTATAAATTCTGTATGTTCGTCACTCTGCACAGTGAAGAACCAACATTCAAGAGTAGTAACACTGAGCAAAAAACTTTCTGATTAAAGGTGGACTTTAAAATTAAAAATGACTAATGATTATACGTCAGATAAATGTAGTGGAGATAAAAGTTCAAAATGTCCCTCTACAATGTCCTGTAGTCCAGTAGGAGTATAATGTATCCTAAACTACATGCTCTTTATTAAAGTACAGGCGCCTAAAAGTGTGAATTGTGCTCCAGTAAATGTACTTAGGTACTTTCCACAGCTGTCATTTTATAGTTAAACTGAGACTAATCCTGAGACATTATTTCACAGCACAGTCACAGGCTGCCTTCGGCTAAAATAACTCTGAAATGTCAAGTTTTTGTTGCTTTCGCTGACTTAAATAAAACACCATTAGCCTTGATTGTTTTTGAGAGGCAGCAGGACCCAGAACAGCAAATAAAAGCTAAAATAAGACACCATTATGGTTACATGGGAAAATAAGTTTGTGATTTGGTTAAGTGACTCCCTAATAAGTTAACAAAATGACTTAATCTTTGCCCAAAACCTTGGCAGGACGTGACTGGCACGAATGAACAATCAAGACCGCAAAATGGAAACTAATGTAAGAAAAGGCTGGAGTCAGAAGAGAGCCGCTCCCAAACGTTTTCTGTCCAACAGCTCACTTCCAATCTGCATTTAACATGATCTGCTTTATTAGTCACAATGCATTTCTCACGGGGTTGACATCATATTTTTACGGAGCCAATGCGGTTAAGACAGCTGCCACCTCACGTCCCCCCACGATTCCCCACCGACACGGCCGACGGTGAACCTCCCTTTAAACTGGAGCAACATCAGCGACAGGTTTCCTGCACATGAACTCATCACTGGCACCTGAACTCGTGGAAACCTGAGCGTTGTTTAGGTTTGGTGTCCTGAGCGCTCAGATTGATAGCACACAGAGGGGACACGTTAATGTGATCTGCTGCTCAGCTCCTTTCAATGTTTGGCTCGTTGAGCGTTTGCTGTCTGGAAAACATTATTCCGGGACATTTAGAGACAAAGATCGAAAAATAGAGGATGAAGTGAACTCACAGGAAATGTAGAATGTTTTAAGGGGAAATCCACCAATTTTACAAAGAAAAGTCAGTTTACTAGTCATGATAAATACTCTGCTTGTGACACTGATGTGGAATGTTTTCTGAAGCTCTGGAGGAGTTTGTCATGTCTGATTAAATCGTTTTTTGGTATTTCGGTTTGGAGACAGATCATCTTTGACAAAACAGCTGTGCAGCAAACCAGAGTTGTTGAGAAAATTCAGATTGAAAAAAGAAAGTCTCAAGTTTTACACTGTTAATTATCACTGAAATGGTATTCAAATAGTTAAGTAAGTAAATAGTTCAAATACTTAAGTAAAAGTAGAACAAGTCTAGCGTTTTTAATAATTAAGATAAACTAAGATAATCCTTTATTAATCCCATAATGTGAGGTTGCAAAGGGAAAAATGTAGCGGCATCAATAGAAAAATAAAATTAAAGAAATGTACATAAGTGCTGTTGATATTGTAGATTCTTGCATATGTAGAAATCTAGATTTTGCACAGATTCCTCTGCAGGTGGAAAACTGCACAGGTTTTTGTTTTTACATAGAAAAACATTCATGTTGCGCAGATGTTCCATTAAAAGGAAATACGATACTAAAAATACTGTTATTTCACAGACACATATGTATATGTAGAAAAAATATGGAACGGTGCATCATTTTTATGAACATGTTTCATGCTTTGCCAGAAAAGTTCAGTGTTTATGCAGATTAACTGACATTCTACGACTAAGTGGCAAAACTGTCCACATCCTTGTGTAGTTCATCTCCAACTGCAGCTTCTTTTTTTTATCATAATTAAAGTTGAGTGAAGACAACATGGACTGAGATGCTTGCAGAGCATCCACAGGGTGTAAATGTGTGCGTTACCTTGAAGCTGTACTTGACGTTGTAACCCGACTGCCGGATGCGGACCGTCTCCAGCATACCTGTGTACCGCAGCTGCCTGAGCACCAGGTTGTCATTAAACCGGAGGGGCAGCTGAGAGAGAGAGAAAGCCAGAGGATAATGGAGGAGAGGAGGGAAAATTAAAGAAAGAGGAAGAGCGACAGACGGCAGAGGTTACAGAGAGAAGAGGGGGAAATGATAAACAGCTTTAAAAAAAAAAAGAAGGAAACTTCAAAGGAAATGAAAAATGCTTTGAAAAGTGAACCCAAACAGGGAAAGCGGCCGCAGCGAGCACACTGTACCTTCTCAGCATTGGAACGGATGCACTTGACAAAATAAGGCTCAGACTGACCCAGAGTCTCCATTAGCTTGTTGAGGGAGGCCTGCAGAACAAGACGCACAAACAAGGCATGAAATTCAACACAACAAGCGGCGGCGCATTTCACAGCTGTTTGACAGGCAGCAGTCGGAGAAGTCAGGTGACTGTCAGCTGTGAACGAAACTCAACGAATAAAGTCGCAGCTTGGGATCATTGACACTGGCAATATGTCGACATAAGCATTGCTTCAGGCCGTGTGTGTGGTGTGTGCAGTGTTAACATGTGCAGCCATTGTGTGTGTGTGTGTGTGTGTGTATAAACACATGCATGTGTGTGTGATAATTCAGTGGCGGGAGGAATTCAGTCTCCTCCCACTCCATGGGAGATTAAAGCAATCAGCGCTGCACAGGATGTGGAAAGTGAAGTCATCCACACACAGGGGCCAGGGCTGCCTGCCAGAGGGCCTCAGCGCTGCACTACACCTCCAACAGAACACAGCTCAGAGAGGAAAACAGCATGTTTGGATGCTAAAAGTTCTCCCTTTGTGAGCTTTATTCATGAATGTTTGACTCAAAGAGAACCAAACTGTTCTGGGTCGTTGTTGTAGCTGTCAGGCTCGTTTATCTCCTGTTTGAGGCAGTTTTTTAAAGGAAAAGCCTGCAAACAAAAAGCTGTTTTACTCTAATTTCAGACATCTAACCCTCTGAACCTCATCATCCATTATTATCCATACGCCGCGTAATCCTCACTAGGGTTGCGGGGGGGCTCAACATGTTTTTGGATTTGTGGGAGGAAGCCGAAGAACCCAGAGAGAACCAAACTGCACGGGGAGAACATACACACTCCACACAGAAAGATCCCGGCTGTCCTCATCGGGACCGAACTGGCGACCTTCTAGCTGCGAGGCAACGATGCTAACCACCGAGCCATCGTGCAGCCCTAAACCCTGTCATGTTATCTTTAAATATGAAAATAGTCAAAATTGCACCATTTATCTGAGCCACAAACTTTAAAATCTGAAGGAATCAACAGACATTCATCTTTCACCGGAGGGTTGCATCTTTATTTTTTAGTGAAATATCTCAGTAGTCGGGCTTTTATTACATATTTTTATGTGCATTTTTGCGTTACATTGGAAAAAGTTACTGGAAATGACAAAATTGAAAAACAAAACAAACTAAAAAACCATCAATTTCACTAAACAGTTCTGACGCTGACTTGAGTTGGTTTTTGACTTTAGCTAACGTGACTGATCAGCTGTTTCCACGGCGATTATCTTTGCTGTCCAGCCAGCATGAAACATGGAGGACACCAGGTGACAACAACTGATTGATTGAAAACAACTCCTGAACTCCTCATCTGTGATGTGCCAATCCAACTGAAAAACGTAATCAAATCTCGGCTTAAAATTGTGATAATGCTTTTAAATGATTGATTGTACATGTCTTCTATTTTATTTGATCTTGTATTTGTTCTACTAAAAATTCTGCACCTCTTGGCACAACTTTGAAGCCATTAGTGACTCAGCTGTGATCAACAGTTGTCACAAAAATTCAGGGACTTTTCAGCTGAACTCGGCTGAACTGCAGGGAGTGTTTACACAACGCAGACAGGTATATACATATGTCTGATTTTAAAACCTGGGGACATTTATATTTTAGACATTTATATGTGCTGTTCTGTCGGAAAGCTTGACAAAATCTCAGTTTTGTGGTATTTCATTAAATAGATTTATTTGACATGTTTGATTTAAAATGAGCCAAAAACAAAACTTACTGTATGTGTCGTTTAAAATTTTGCCAAAAATAAATTGTTTGCTCCGACCAGATTTTACTTAATAAATAAATAAAAACCTCTGCTCAACCAGGAAGCCATGAGCAATGCAGCTGCAACAACCAGCCATGTTGCAAAAATGACTTTTTGACTGAACTGCAGGCTGTGTATACAGATAAGAGACAGGTATGGATGCAAAATAAAAATGTAAGTAGTAAAAGAACTACAGTACACAGAGTCCCTATTTGTTTCAGTCGTAGTAAACTAGTGCATATTGATTTTGGGTTTTTCATTGTTTTGTAAAATAAATAATTAACGAAATTCAAGTTTAGCTTTTTCTTTTAATATGATTTCTGGCATTGTGAATTTGTTTTACTGCAGAAAAGACATTTTGGAGTTCTCTCTACTTCCTACAATAGCTCTGCTGTTCCCATAGATGAGCCTGTCTTTGTATTGTGGTGAAAAAATGAGCCCACAGTGAGTAAAAATGTGACGGGAGCAGAATGTTCCCAGAAGCTGCTCGGGGTTCACAGGGTTAAATGGGAAGAATAAAGTCATTTTCGGTTCTCTGTGAATTCCCGTCTTCATGGTCTCATCTCATCACTGAGTCAACATCAGCGAGGAATTTCTGAAGGGTGTGCCAGCGAATGAGCGCAGCCTAATTTTCTACTTTCTCACCAAATCAAATATAATTTTTTTTAATACTTTTATTTCCAGACATGATGTCATGCATCATGACTTTGGTGTCAGACAGTCAGCTCACACTTACTGGACAAACACTGGGCTTAGACAGCGGACAGTGAAGGCTGTGGGCAGCCACTGGTGAAGGACACGCCTTGTTTTTATCATATTAACAGCTGGAGGGGGATTCCTCGGTCCGGCTCGGGCTAATCGTATTATTTTTATTGGATGGTGAGTCACTGAGCGCTGCAGCGTGTCTGACCTGGAATTGTGCGCTGATGCTGGGTGGTTTCTTCTTCTTGTGGAGGTGAAGCAGCGACTTGGTGATGCGGTCGTGAAGCGTCAGGTTGCTCAGGTACTTCAGGGACTTGACATTCAACAGGTGCTGCAGGTGAAAAGTCAGAGTATATATATTTGAATCAATGGCTTTTTCTGAGATAAATTAAAGCAGAGTGACACAGTTAATGCATTAAACAACTGGCTGACTATTTGGATGTTTTTTAAAGATAAAATAAGTCACAATTATCTGATTCCAGCTTCTTAACTATAAATATTTTCTGTTTTATGCCTTCCTCTGTGATAGTAAACTCAATATCTTTGAGTTGAGACAAAAAATTTGAGATTTAAGGACGTCATCTTAGTCGTCCAGAAACAAAGATCTTGCACCATTTTCTAAAATTTTACATTATCTGTATTTACATATATTGTGTTTAGTTGCAGCTGTAAATTAAAGATATGCTGTACCGTACCTTCGGAAGAACTGGCTTAGATTTGTAGTTTTTGTTCCTCCTGTTTATAAAAAAAGAAAACACAACAACAACAACAAAAAATAACAGAAAAGTTAGTCCAGCAATTCGTAAATCAATAAGTGACTTTTTCTTTTTTTATATTGTAAAGCACAACGTCAACAAGGCATTCAGTTAATTTTAGAAATTCTCCCCAAGTGGGTCATATCCCCATCAATAAAGAGAACTTTATTCATCCCCGTGGGGAGGAAATTCTCTCTTCACTTGCTCCCCTCGGTGGGGAGGTCAGAGGTCGGAGGTCAGACATAGAGCAGCAGTGACTGTCTGAGCTGGAGGAATGTGGTGAAGGATGCTTCAGCAGATGTTTGAACTCAGGTATACAGATGTCTAGACCGCTGGGCCGCACTGCTGACCAAAATAACAAACAACTGGGGAGTCGAATGATGCTGAAAATAGTTTTACATGAAAATCTATGACAAAAAAACCTAAGAATAACCATCTAATACTGTTGTAAGTGAAAAACAAAGGATTGGATGTGTTTATTAGATACTGTGCTGTTGTACTGACATGAGGATGTCGTGAGCTCTCTCCAGGAGTTTGCTGCTGGCGGAGTTGACAAAGATGCCGTCTTCTTCTGCGGCGGAGCTGGTGGACGACAAGCGGCTCTGTCGACCCACACGGCCGTTCCAGCCGAGGCCCGGAGAACTTCTACGGACAAAACAATGAAAGAGATTAAACTATAAACTAAAAGCTTCATCTAATAACTGTTACACGTCAAGACACTTCTAAAGCAAGCTCACTGCGTGTGACGTCACTGCTTCTTCTTCTGCGCATGTGGGACACTTTTGGGTCGTTTGAAGTTCACACAGCAGATCACATACAAGTCACATTTAATTGGAAATGTGAACGAACTCGGTGAAAAAAATCGGATTTCACAAAAAAATCTGAATTGAGCATTAAGTCCTGTAGTCTGAATGTAACCAATCTGTCGGATTGTTAGGTCAGATAATACGCTGTTATCCTTATTTGTGACATAAAATGTCACGCCGGGGTCGGAATCCAAGGCTGTCAGTATGCTAAGGTTGTTTTTAATGGGTTCCGTTTGATTTTCCTAAAAATCCGTCGGATAGCAAAGTTTAGGATTGTTAAAGGTCGGTCTATCAAGTCACAATTGTATTTCTTATTTTTATATACTTTGAGTCTTTTTTTATTCAAGTACTTGTATTTACCCTCTGGAATTTATTTATTTTTTCAAAAATTTTTTAGGAACTTGCACTCCGAGCATGGTTACACCAGGGCAAAAATGACGTAGAAAAACAAACAAAAAAAACAACAACACAGCAACACAACTACACGACTGCTTTTGCCCCAACCACCCTGTAGACAGCATACATTATATATTGGCAGAATGTGCTAAACAAATAGCAGAAGCACAGTCTCCTATTTCAGGCTTTCAGGGCTGTCTGGGAAAAATCAGCCGACTTGTGATCAGTTTTATTGTTTTTAAGTCAAACATAGAGATACAATAAGTTACATAAACGTCCTCAAAGCTACGACATAATGCTGAGAAAGCTCCTTTGTCCCCAGAACAATAACAGTCTGACTTATGACACTTGAGGCACAGCTGTATTTATAACGGGTGAACGACGGCTGCAAATCGATTTACTTTAAACTTTAACTTTTAGCTAACAGCACAAAGGAGTCCACATGGTTGACCCAACTCACTCCTCCTTGTGTGCCTTTCTCATTATTTCCAGGTTCGTCTGATAAAATGTCTTTCTTTGTAGTCTCAGATTTTTGGACTCCACTGTATTAAAACTAACCTACAGTCTGGTTTTATTATGCATGTGGGGTCTCAGACATAACATCAAATTCCTCGAACCAGAAGCTCAGCTCTCAAACCACAGAGCTGAAGGAGACCAGAGCTCTGTGCTTTTGGTACGTTTGGATAAATGTGAGCTCAGCTTTAGACATGTGTGACCTATGTAGAATTTTAAACTGCAGCGCTTCGTATTCTGTATTTGTAAAAGAGATATTTTTCCGAGGAGGAATGTCCACCAGCAGGGGCAGATGTTTCCATGTTTCCTCCCGAGGAGAGAGCGAAATTCATGTCAAACAGAATTAGCTGCACGAGTTTAAACCTCAGGCCTCAAGGTGAAACCGAACCACCTGCCCAGAACACAAACAAAAACACCAGTGGTCAGGTCACGGTTTAAACCATTTACCAAATCTTTTTTTTTAGCCCAGAGGAGAAGACGAGGGCAGAGAGAAACATTTAAATGGCCTCAAATAAAAAGCAGGAAATAAAAGACAATCATGGACGTCATTACTCGGTAGAGCTGCCACTACAGAGCAGATTATAACTGTGGCAGCAGCAATCTGTCACGGCTTCAGCTCTTCACATCCACTGGAGCGCTTTATTTGGTTTCCACTATAATCATTTATAGTTTTACGAGAATTCCTCTACATGAGTTACAGGCCACACACTATTACACACTGACAACAACAGCAGGATGTGTTTGGTGAGTCGTACCGTGTTATTAGCAGGAGGCTGAATCATTCCTAGAGAGAAAACGAGTTGGACGCCAGTTTGTTTTTAACGGCTGATGAAAATGAAAGTCAATACAGACGCAAAGAGCAGCGGGAGAGGGGAGTGTTCGGTGCTCGAGGGGAAGCTGGAAAGCTGTAAATATGTTGTCAGAAAAGTAACTTGTGAGATAAGTACATGGAAGTCCCGCTCCAAAAAAACAAACCAATAAAATAAACCGTAATCCTCTCATTGCGTTCAGCAACTATAGCTGCTCTCATGTTAACAAACAGGATGCACGGCCGTCAAATACTTCACAGCTACATGAAGGCTCTCCTTTATTCAAGTTTTTGTGTAAAAATCAAACCAAACAAACAGCATTAAGTAGAGAATACAGACACAAAAGCTGTTCAGTCTATCTAAGTGTTTCCTCAAGTGAATCTCGGGTCTTTCACTCTCAAATCATCACATATTTGGAACAATTTCTGCTTGGCCATATTTGATTTGCCTGGTTTTTAAAAAAGACAACCTATGAATATTATCTGTGTATTTTGAGCTTGGTATATTAAATACCTTTCTAAATAATGATTAAAAAACAACTGCTTCACCCCACTTTCCAATTTGAGGCTATGTTTGAACCGCAATATCTGAAATTTTCCACTTTTATTTCATTTTTCTGTTCATGTGTTTCAGAATAAAATGTTTTTGTTAATGTGTGCTCAAACACGGGACTTAAAATGACAGCATTGCTTTTTAAATATGTTTTTAAATTCAACTCACTTTTAATTGGGGATTGTTTGACCTACTTGTCCAATACTGCCGATACTGAATCAATGACATAATCCAAAATAAGAGTAAAGAAAATATGTTGTGGTTCAAACACAGCCGAAAATTTCACTGTGCGGGGGGGAAAAAAAAAAGTGCTGAAAGGTTTGACTAGCAGCCTTTTTAGAAATGTTTATCTTGGGAAGTGTTTAAGTAAATAAAACTCATTAGTTTGTAATAAAAAAAAAAGTTTGAAGGAAATCAGTGATGGTCGATAAGAAGGCCTTTGATAATTTAAAAGGGAATAACCCATAAATCAGAACGAACTGAATCAGTTTTAGAAAAACCACCTTCCTCAAGTCTTGCTTAAACTTATTTCCTAGAAGCCGATGTTTCTGGTTCTCACTTTATGATCCGCTGACTCATATTCAAAGCTACTGTGTAACACAAGTAAATCCACTGTGCAAACCAAACACGACCAGAAACCGAGAAAAGAGGCATTTGTGGTTTACTGATTCGCAGACAGATGTTGAGTAACATTGCAGTGATTCATGATTTACTGGAAGACAAAATGCCAGATTCAACTGTCCTCAGAGGGATAGTAAGTGACTTGGAAATGTTCTGAAGTTATCCCCTGACTTATGCTTTTCAATAACCTCTTCACAGAGTTGCTTGGAGCGTGACTTGGTCTTTATTGTGTAGATATAGAAAGTAGTAGTGATTCATCAGTGACTGCACCTTCCAGACACAGGTGTCTTTATACTGCAATCACCTGAGACTTTTGTTTTTGTAAATTCTAGTCAAAAAAAAGCCAAATTAAATTGACCATGATTCGATGTTGAAATGCAACATAAGGGGAAAACATCCACGGGGGGATAAAACCTTTTATGGACACAGTAACTGCAGGACAAATGTTGGTTTCTCCACAGTACTTTGTCCACAAGTGACACATCATGTATCTACTGGAGGACATTACTGTAAATTTGTATTCAGTCATTGTTAAATATTATGATCCAGCTAACTATTTGTGATATTATGGAGTGTAATGCTTGACTATTTTAGGTCTCTAAGATTGAGCAATAAGACAACTTTCCCAGCCGGATCATATACGTGTGGATATTTTATCACACTGTTTATCTCTCAAACAGCTCTGGGTGCTCTGCAAATCACTGAGGAGGACAACTTCATGGTGGTGCTGGAATTTTTAGATTACATTTTGCATCACTGTGCTGGTTGATTTGTTCAGCATCTTCTGTGCTGTTTAAGCTGCTTTGGTCCAGACTGAAATATCTCAACAACCTCATTGTCCTCAGAGGATGAATCCTACTGACTTTGGTGACTCTCTGACTGTTTATCTAGATGCCTTTGTATTTGCATAGACATGTGGTTTATGTCAAACTAATAAACACTCAGCAGTACTTTCTGTTTTGGGGCTAATTAGCAATTATTAGCAGGCTAAACTATGTAGGCAGTAGCATCCAGGCGTTAACATTTAGCTCAAAGCACAATCTTACATGGTTGTCGTCTTGTTTAAACCTAAACTTTTGGCCAATAAGCTGATAATGATTTGAATTTATTAACAATGACAAACAAAAACGATGTTTATCGTTGACTTAAGCTTGTTAAAATGTAATTTTTTGGTTGATTATGTGCTAAATTTGATTAAAATCGAGGAGGACAAGTTGAAAACAGAAACCAAAAGTGAATAAAACAACAAGAGCAACCTTTCCATTACTCTTCCCTCTTTGCTTCCCTGCTGCTCCACTATCTTCATCACAGGTTTACATCTTCAGCCCCAGAGGAGCAGCACAGACACATATGATTTGCACTGCCAGCCTGCACTGCATTACAATATTATAAATGATGGTAGAAGACCCACAAACCTCCAGTGTACAAGTCTAAATCAAAGGCTCTGGATTTGTGTGTCCCTCTGGGTTTATAGTCTATCCTCACATAATCTTAGGACCAGTCTTTGAGGGTTTATTGTCTATGGTCACATCAGAAAATACACTCTGACGTCACTCTGTGTAGTAAAGCACAAATCTTGTGTTTGCATCTGTCCCGCCATATAAAGGAGAATTTCTCCCCAGTTGATCGTCTATCTCAGTAAACGGTGATAGCACAATATGCCTATTGTAGTGACTGTTTATCTCTGTAGTCTCTCTGAGAGGCCCATAAAGCACCGCACTGTCCGCCGCTCTGTCCAGCCGACAAGCACCCTGTAGGGACCGAATATTTATCGCTCCCCGGACTCCGCTCTCCGATGCATAGCTGTGACTTTACATCACGGAGGAAGCAGCTGCACGGGCTTTAGTGCTCTCTTAGTATGTGCAGGATGAGTGTGTGGAGAGGCAGGCAGAAGGAGGGCAGAGGTTGCAAATCACATTAAGGGAGGATTTTAACAGCTTCAGACTGAGCTCCTGTGCAACAAAAGCTGTCTTGTACATCCCCTCCATGCTACCAGCCGTGATCGTGGGCCACAGCTAATTAGAGGAAATAGTGGACTGTGGTCTCGGTGGGGTGGCAAGAGAGCAATGTTTGGGGTCACTGCACAGGCATCGCTCCTTTTTCTTTTTTTTAAGGCATGCCACATTTGTCTCAACACCCAGAGGTGAATATCATACATGATGCATGAGGATTAAAAACACATTATTTAAAAATAGCAGAGAACCCTTAAGAAAGGTATTAAGGGGTCAGTTGACTTTTGAAAATTAGGATCAAATGCAGGCCTGGGGGTGAGGACTATGATAATGAACTACAACGCCTCCAGATCGACTGGGTGGCTAAATTATGAAAACTCGTAGTACTAAGAACTGATTAACTTGCTGTATATTGTGTTTTTATTATCTTTAGTTGTATGGTTTGGGTTATTGTTTTACTGGGAATACAGAACAAGTTCTCTCCAATCGCAGGTCTGCTGCAGACTGCATCAGGTTGTCCTCCAGGACTTTTCTACACTTTGCTGCCATAATTTTACCCTCTACCTTTACAATCCTCCCAGGGCCTGCTGGTGAGAAGCATCCCAGCATGATGATGCTGCCGCCACCATGCTTCACAGCAGGGATGGTGTGTTTGTGAAGATGTGCAGTGTTTGGTCAAAACACTGTCTATCTGATGGCTAAAAAGAGCAATTTCGGTCTCACAACACACAAGAATGTTCTCCCAGTTGACTTCAGAGTCTCCCACATGCCTTCTCGTAAACTCTAGTTGAGATTTAAAATGAGATTTTTTTTCTCATGGCTTTCTCTTTGCCACTCTCCCATTAAGCTTTGACTGGTTAAGAACAGCTGCTGCACAGTCTCACCTATTTGAGGCACTGAAGCTTGTAACTCCTTTAAAGGAGTCATAGGTGTCATGGCGGCCTCCCTTACTAAAGCCTTTCTTGCACGGACACTCAGTTTTTGAGGACGACTTCCATTTCTTAATGACGGATTTAAATGCACTCCAAGGAATATTAAGTAACTTGGAAGTTTGCTTGTATCCAACCCCTGACTTACACTTTTTAATATCCTTTTCACTAAGGTTCTTGGACTATTCTTTTGTCCTCATGGTGTAGTTGTATCCAGGATTATTGATTCACCGGTGACCACACCTTCCAGATACTGGTGTGTTTATACAACAATCACATACACTTCGTCTATTTTGGTAAATTCTTGCCAAAATAGTAAAATAAAATTGACCACGATTCAATGTTGAAAACCAAAAAAAGCGACAAACATCCAAGGTAGGTAACAATTTGGGCCTATAGTTTGTGGTGATGTGTTGGAGTGTATTATATTGTCAGTGTTGCAAACACAGTATTTTGTCCATGAGTGACACATGTAAAAGGGCTCGTGTTGTCTGAGACTGTGTACATCGGTGGTATCGTACGAATGCAATCACTTGGAGGATTTGAAATGAATGTCTTTCCATATATAGGTAATAACATAGTACTAATTTATATCTTCAGAGAAGTTCATCGACCTGAAAGGTGACCGGACCAAAACCAAAACGGAACAAAAAAAGAAACAAAACCATGACAACGGTGACACTTACCGCGGTGATTTCTCATTGATGGTGTTGCTTCCCTGAAGGTCTGACAGTGGCGTACGTGGACTCTTTCTGGTCACACCTGATCACGAACAAACAGGTTGGCATCACGTGAAAGAACACACACACACACACACACATACACACACACACACACACACACACATAACACCACACAAGACGCAAACAATCACCAAACCCACACAAAAACACACTTCTGTCACCACATGAGGCTCCGGTGTTATTGCAGTGAGTGTTATGTGCCTTCTTATTGGACGTATAGCCTACTGCAGATGACTCATTATTGAAACAAAGATCTGTGAGGTTATTAACAGCGAGGTGCTATTTGTTAGTGCCAAATTATGGAAGATGATACTGAGCAGTTATTTAGTTTAGTTGTGGGTTTGTTTAACAAATTGATTAGTTATTTAAATACAATCATCAATTATTGGAGAAAAGTAAAAAAAATCTGCGTGGAATGGGTTTAATTAAGGTTGCTATGCTAGATTACTAGAGAGTGACGGCTGGGTTACAGCGCTGGTAAGTCTGTAGATAAAATATTTAACCACCAGCATTTCCTCTGAACCTACAGCCAATCAACGACGGTGCTGAGTGATCAGAGAAGTCTACGGTGTGTTAGCCTACTCATAAAGCAATCTGCGACTTAACAGTGTACCGTTTCCAGTTTCATCACTTTGTACAACATTTTCACTCTCATCTGGAGCTGCAGGGTGGCACAGAACAAAAAGACACAAACACATTTCAGAGCAATGAATTACTTGTGGAGGAAAAGTGACCGTTGTGAGAAGTGTGTGAGGCCGGCTGTGTGTCCTGCACCACATGTAAAGCTGCCTGTGAGCAGGTTAGTGACGATGATGTGAACGTCTGCGTCCCAACTGTGTCGCATCGATCACCCCTCAGTCTTCTATCACCATCACCAGTCTATGTGGTATTAGTGTCAGCTGGTTTTAGACATGTGTTGGTGGACAAGCAACTACACCCACTGCCCAATGGAGCTGTGTGCTTTCACTAACAAAAGGAATCAAATGAATAACCTGGAGGTGTTGCTTCCCCACACCAAAGTTAGCTGATAGAGCAATACAACCATGCATTTCTCTGCAAGCCTTTGAGCAGCACCGTGTAAGTGACAGAATGGCTGAAGCATGCAAGTGAACAATGTACAAGACAAGACTAAAAACAAACGCATGCAGGTGCATAAGAGAGAGGGAAGAGGGAGACGGAGGGAGCAGAGACCGACAAGCATCTACTTTAAAAACAGAGTTGTAAATAAAATCAGAAAGCGGAACATTTTTAAAACTTGGTGAAACTATATCTCTTCAACCGTCTGAACCCCAAAACTTTCCAGCAGGTTTAAAAGGCAGTTTTAGTCTTTATAAAAAGTGTCAAAATGACACCATTTGTCAGATCCAGAAACTGTAAAAACAGAATCATCATGAAAATGAACCAAATCTAAGCTTAAAATTGTGATTTCTCTTTAGAATCACATGACTGCACATGTAGCATTCAAAAAATTAGTCAAAAATGAACCGTTTCCTCTAATCAGATATAGCAAAATTAAAGTATTCTGCAGTCCATGTCCCAACTGAGAAGCCACTGTTCACTCAGCTGTGACCAACAGTCATGTTACAAAAAATCAGGGAGTTTTTGGCTGAACTGGGCTGAACTGCAGGCTGTTTTCACAAAGTCGGTAGCAGCAAAGTATAGAACTGGAAGTACGACGTTATCTATAGAATGTAGAGAGACCTTTGGAACTTGGAAAAATGTTGCACATGTTGATTCTAGTGTTTAGTTTAATTTTGGTAAAATAAAAAAGACATCCAGTTTTCATGATCTATCATTTCTGGCATTCTAACTGTGTCACGCTGCACAGAGGACACGTTTAAGTCCGCTCTCTTTCTACTCATGTTTGTACTGCTTCAATAAAAGGTGCAGCATTTTATATTGCAGTGAGAAAACTAGACGCCCAGAAACTGCGTTGGGGTTCAGAGGGATATGTTTGGATGTTCTCATTGATCTCTTTTGGCTCGACTTTGGCTTCGGTTACGGACAGAAACGATGCTGGTCAGTCTCAGCCCTGCCGTTTCCCCAAGTCATGGTCTGACATGAAAGTAGGAGGAGTTATTGTTGTATTGGCAGCCTTACTGTACTTCTCCTCTTTGCATCTCTGCAGGATCTCTAAGCTTCTCTGATGCACAGGGTGCTGCAGAAAGCTAAAACTATCCACACTTTTCAATACTGCACAGGGAGCAGCGTCATCATGCCCTTGGAGAAGCAAAACAAAAAGACAGAGAAAAAAAATATACACAAGAAAAAAAGAAAAGGGGGGAAAACAGAGAGAGAGAGAGAGAGAAACGACAGGTTAGACAGCGCAGAAGAAGAGATCAAGAGATGCAGTCGTCTACTGGAGAGATACCTGTGCAAGACTTCTGGAGAGAAGATGATCGACATTCAAAACTGCCTTTGAAGGCGGCAGAAGGAAGTTTGTCATTGTAGTTTTGTGTGGAGGTGTTCGCCCCCCCCAAAGGCACTTCCATACATCGCCTTCTAGAAACATTTCTGTGATCTGATGCACTTCTGGCGGTTATTTAATTTACAGCTTATAAATACGACAACAAAGGAGTTTAATGTGAAAAAACTTTTGCAGAAATGTTTCAGAAGACGTGTATCTGATTCCCCTTTGGTGAGGCTGATATCTTTAGAGTTTAGTTGGGAGGATTTTCTAAAAGATATCTAAGGATGAGCTTCTAAAGAAAAATCTATTTTCACATGACGACATCTGTACTTGATGAGCAGGAAGAGGGTGCAGAGCGAAAGTCTCATTTACACGTCGGCAGCGCTGGAAGAACATCTGCTGGTAGAAATCTACTGCATGTCAACAAGAGCTACAGCAAATTCTAATGGAAGAGAAGGCATTCATAGAGGGGCAAAGCTGAGAGAGACACAGAGCAGGAGCTACTGTAAATACATGGCAACTCTACCAGCGCTACGCAAATACTACACAACAGTGAGCTACTGAAACACAAAACATGATGGAGGCAGAGCAAACTAAGGAAAACTGTAACTGGATGGCGTGTGAGCAAACAGTGCTGTAAATAGCAGGAAAACTGAAGAGATAAATGTGTAATCTAGTGCAGTTTATTGAAGAATACAGCTCGTTTGGTTTCCATTCCTGCCAGACACGTTGTCTGCTGACAGCTACTAAAACTAATAAGACAAGTCAAAGGACTGCTCTGTTCTCTAGATTTGTAGTTTGCCAGTTTCCTGCTATTTTTGCTGACATGCCGCTCAGTAAAGTCAACGTCCTCTGCCTCTTTCTGCATTCGCTGATGCAGTTTGGACGCACTATGAGCTTTTCCCAAACTACAAATGCCGCAAAGTTCCTCATTTTGAATGCTGACTCCAACATAATCTATCACTGAAAATGTTCCTGCTCTAAATTAATAATAAAGCCACAAATTAAACATGACTAGCTGCCCTGGAACAACAAAAAGCCTACAGACACTAGCTAATGACACATATTATATACTGTAAAAGGGTCATTCCATCTCCGATCATCACAGTCTTGCTGCTCGACCGTCTCTGATTTGTTTGAAACTTTTTCAAACTATCTGTATTTAAAATTGTATCTGTGCAATTTTGGCCTGACATATCAAATAATTTCAGAATTTTCTAATTCAAAAAAAAAAACTGCCCGCCAACCAAGTTTCAGCACTTTTTTTTCGTGCATTGAAATTTGAACCACAAGATCATAAAAACTATTAAAGATAAAAGGATGAAATGTTCACTGTTATTTCTACTCATGATATTGATTTAGAATCTGCAATACTGGACAAGTAGATGAAATAATGTCGTGTTACGGGTGAGTTAAAAGAGGGAGAAAAAAGTTGTCACGAAAACTCCCATGTTTTCATTAACACTATGAATAAAACAATTGATTATGCAGAAACCAATCAGTGATATTTTCTAAACCAAATGTTGCTAGATGTCACATTTATTTAAAAAAAAAAATACAAAAATAAAAAACACTTGACGATTATTCAATATTAAATACTTGGTCACAAAAAGGTGAAAATAAGTTATGTTTATGATAGTTTTATGACTGATATTTCTATTTTGGTATTGCTCAAAATGTATTTATTTCTATTGGCTAAGAACCAGAACCCCGAGGAACTAATTTCATGCGTCTCATGTGGATACAAGTGCAGGAATGACAATAAAGACCCCTGAATCCTTTAGTTTCAAAGTGAGTCTCCAAACATTACTAAGAAACTATATTTTTTAAATACAATAATTTTTACTTATATCCATAGTTAAAAAAAGAAATTAGGCGAACCTGAGATGGTCGAGCAGAAACTGTTCTTAAAGTCTGATGATGTGAGATGTAAGGACCCATAAGCTTTCTCTGACTTTCTAATCTCAGCGGAGGTCTTTGTGTCTCCTGCCTCTTTGCTGTTGCTCAGCGTTCAGACTTTCTGTCGGTGTTTGTTCTCACCGGTCTTCTTCTGCGTGTGTCTCTTTCCAGCCTCTCTGAAGGCCACCAGGGCCCTGAAGTAGGCTCGGAGAACCGCCCAGCGGAACGTGGCCGACGGGTCGATGCCGATCAGGCTGCAGATGAAGGCGTTCTTGCTGCTCTTCAGTAACGCCACGATGTCCGGACGCATGTGATCCGTGTTCTTCTCCCTGAAGTCCTGCGAATGTGTCACAGATATGCTGGTTAAAACTGGTTTTACTTCGTCTCTCATGTCAAACTGTTTACCGTGTTCATATGGTTGCCTTATTGTGTTTTTTTACGCAAGATTTGATCCTGAATAAATAAACTGAATAAATAATGGACTACGGAACAACTGACAGTCTATTTACTTGAGAAAAAAAATGATGTAACATTCTTATTTATGTTGTTGTAATAATCACTTATATACTCCCATTTTAAATACTGTATTATAAAATGGTACATAGGAAGTAAAACACAACATATATAAAGTAGTACACTGTATTTTTACAGTTGTTATTCATGTGTGTCTGTACGTATTTCATGACAACTTTATTTTTGTCATTCACTTAAACTTACATTCAAATGAAGTACGTTTATGTAATGTCTCATGATGATTTTCCATTTCCAAACAGGTTTGACAACATTTTACTGCTCCGATTTAAAAGCACACAGTTGTTTGTTTTAGTACGGGCACAAATATGTGCAGCTAGAAATTGAATTTCAACCTTGAAAACTGAATATAAAAGTATACAGAGAGATGTTTTTTTTTAGTCAAGATCAAATACAAATTCAGAGCAACTGACTTCAATCTGACAAATTCAATCAGGTTTGAATATTCAAATTCAGTTTCTAAAGACAAATGGCAAAATCTAAATGATTTAAATTCAGTTTCTGGTGGCACATTTATCAGTCCATATTTTAACTTCAGCGGACAATATTGAGAATATTATGTTTCAAAACCCACTGGATCAACTGGAAGACACAAACCAAAGCTCACAATTAAGAAAAAAAGCACAAAAAATGTCAGTCGTCCAGAACTTTTTTGCATCATTTAGCGATAACCCTAACCCCAACACTTTCCCTCCCACATCCAAAGCTGCCCTTCATCCTCCCTCTCCGTCTAATTAATGCCTCGGCGTGGAATTGAGCGTCGCACCGACCTTGACGCCGTACTTGACCTTGCCGGCGTAGTGTCGGATAATGAAGGCGGGCTCCATGACGGCGGGGAACTCGATGTAGCTGTTCCCTTCATGCTGTCGCTTGAACTTATCCAGCAAAGTCTGGTTGGTGGCTTGAGGGAAACTGAAAATTAAAAAAAGGGGACAGAAGAGTGAGCTTTGAAGAACGCTGGCTTTGACATCTGTTCTTAATATCAGAGAGCAGCTCCGCCAGACGATCACAGCGCTGAAGATGCACTTGTTTAAAGCTACGTCACAGCGCAAATCTCACTGAAAATGTTCAACAGATTTCTGATCTGTTTCTCCTCAGAGATGATGCATCAGAGACATTAGTTTTTCCATTAATCCAGTCACAAGCGCAGCAGCATTTATAGCGGATGACTGGAAACGCGAAACCTCATCTGAAGTGTAACCGGCTCTGACATTTCACCCCTCTGATGCCACAGGTTGAGGATTATCATTTCAGTTCACATTTCTTTCCAGTCCTTTAATATCCAGAGCCAGAAATTCAGCACACAAAAAAAAAATCAACAGCTTTACAGGAAGAGCAGAGGGGAAGAATGAGACACTGGGGGTTTTGGAGCAGAGTGAAACCTGAGCTATGAAAACAGCACAGCTAAAGACTTTCCAGCTTTTCCAAGTGGGAGGAATTTGATTCGGTGTCCAAAATGGAGAAGAGAGGGGAATTAAAGGAGGAAATATTGTTAGTAAAACAGTCACAGTGCAGCCGCCAAGCTGAGAGGATCCGATTTTCTCTGCAGCTTAGAGGCTTTAGATTGGAGGCAGCTCCATCTCACTCACTGGTAACTTGATTACACCTAAAATAACATATTTGTAGAAGTACACTGACATTTGACACATTTCAACTGTATATACTGCTGAACCTTCTGAACCGTCAAACCTGCCAGCGGCTTTGAAAGACATGTTATCCTTAAAAAATCTCCAGAACGAAAACACAAAGTATCGTCGGATTTTCAACTTTCCGATTTTCCTTGAACTAATCATGGATGATGTACAGTTCTGTCAGAAAAGCAAATTAAAGTTGAAAATTGTGACATTTTAAAGTGTAAAAACAGAAAAAAATGATCTGGTTTCCCAACTGGTCCTTCAGCTACTCATCTGTGGCATGTTTCAGTGGAAAATATTACCAAGTATAGGCTTAGAATTGCGACATTTCATTAAAATCACACTAGTCTACAAGTTTTATTTTTAAAAAATGGTAAAATTGAACAGCTGGCATTAACCTGATTCTGAAAAGACAGAAAAAAATTTGCACTCCCCGGAAACCATGACTGACTCAGATGTGGGCAACAGACACATAACAAAAATTCATGGACTTTTCAGCTGAACTGCAGAATGTGTTTGGACTGAGCAAATAGGAGACAGGAATGAAATAAAAATGTTGGTAGTTAAATATCTATAGTAGGTACTAACATTGATTTCAAATATACCTGAGGGCACCTGGAAAAATATTGCTTCAAGTAAAGTAGCTTTTTTTTTTTTTTTTTTTGCTTTTTTTTTTTTTTTTTTTTAACTTTTTAACTTTTGTAACTTTTGTAACTTTTGTAACTTTTGTTGCTCATCAAAACAATTCAACTTTTTTATTTGATTTTTTTTCCACAGAACACATTTTTGAGTTCTTTCTACTTCTAGCTATGGTTGTTTAATTTCCATAGAGGTGCAGGACTTTACACTGCTGTGAAAAATGAGCCCACAGTGAGTAAAAACGTGAAACTGTTTGCAGTTCAGAGAGTTAAAATGTTGGTCTTTTAGTACCTGACTGCTCAGTAACACATGTCTGGTGTGACCCATGAGACTTTTTTGGTCACATCTGACAAAGTGACCAAATGTTGGCACTCTGGATCGCTGTGTAGTTTGGTCTTTAGATGTTAGATATTTATTTGTCTGCACAAGCTGGTCATTTGCTCATAAAACTGTGTTGTGTAAACAATGAGCTCAAAAAGGTCAAACAGTGGGCAGTTTTCTGTGGTTTTGTCGCTACAATCAACCCGTCACATTCACACGCAGCCATTTGATTCAGTTTTACTATAAAAACTTGTGCAGAGACCAGCGTCCGTCCAGCTGCAGCTGCCTCTCTACACGGTGTGCAAACATTTACATTCTATAGCTCAGATTTTTACTGTTTAAGCCTTAATCCAGCAGCTCACAGCATAAAAACAGACAAGACTGGAGAGGTATCGCACGCAACAAACATCCCCGTCTGGAACCAAACCAGGGATTTCACAGACGTATCACAGCACCTGCCAGTGTTGCTTTAACCTGCCACAAGCACCTGATGATTTACAACTGAACTACATGAAGCCGTCAGACTGGAAGCCAAACAGGCCCAGAGACTCACTTGCACTCTTCATCCAGCAGGTGGAACAGCGCTGTGGGCTTCTTGCTGATCAGGTTGATGCAGCCTGTGTTGTCGATGTAGTCGATGTTCCTCCAGCTGATGCCTTCGGCTCGATATTCCTCCTGCAGGGTCAAAGCAGAGAGTTCAGCTGAAGAACACTTTGCTTTGTAAAAACTGGGACATGACGACTTCTTCGTCTTTGTATCGAATGTTGCGATAACGTGCGTGTGAATTAAAACACTACAGAACATTGAAATCCTTGTTATTTATGCTCTTAAGCAGCTGGAAAACAGAGACAGACGCAGAGAACGAGTCTTCACGTTTGGCAAAATTCTCTTTGAGGCCAGAAGGCGTCCAGCGAACGTGACATCAAAGCCGACGTCTCCGGGCCGCCATTAAAATATTAATCATCAACATACCATCAGAAACAGACGGCCGGTCCTGTGAGGCTGTTTTAAATTCTACAATCAAAGCAACAATGTTGTTTGCATGCGTGCTTCGCAGACTTCGCCCGGGCCTGGTGGTTTAATAATGAGACAAGCATTCGGAGCATTTATCAGCATTCGTCCCCGTACATGTTATTTTCCTGTGTTCCTGGGAAAGAGATTTAACCAATAAAGACCTTAATCCAGCCGAGGTTTAATAAAAAATCACTGGAATCTCATTTTTTCTCTTGAATCTCCTCTTGTTACCCCTAAAGTCAGAGGGCTGAAAAAAATCTAGTTAATTACAGTTGTTTACCAGAAGACAACGAAGAAAAGAAGCTCTGGGGACAAATGTTGTACCTCGTAAAATAAAACTAAAGGGCAGTTCTTATTTAAAAATGACTACTATTACGATTATTATATTATTATTACTACAAACTCAACATGATTCTGTTTCTGTGGAGTTTTGTTCATGCAAACAACTTAACTTGTCTCTTATATTACAGGAGAAACTGCTTATTTAGATTGTTGTTGTCGTTAAACATGACAATGACAGTGTTTAAAGCTGCATCTCTCACTTGTTTTTGACTGAGTAAACTACTAAAGACAAGTTTTCACATGAGTCCTTAATAAGACTTTAAAACAGGGTGGAAACCGTCAAGTAAAACACCTGTGTGACCTGGAATAAACGTACGTGAAGCTTATAATATCCAATTAGTGAGTCAGCCGTGAGCTGAGTCGACCCTTTGGTGATCACTGAGCTGTGGTTTGTGGGAGTGCTGCACTGGACGGCGTTATGCTGCACAGGATACTGTACCCGCCCCCACATTCCTTCAAATCCCCTTCCTATAAATGCTCTGATTCATTCTTATTGTGACTAAACCAATAAGAAACCCTAACATGTCTTCACAATGTGCACAATCAGCGTCTCCACCAAGTTTCTACAGATTTCTGTCACTTTTTTTTTACAGCTTGTTTGAACATCGTCTTGTTGATTTAGTCCAATGTCTGTCTTGTTGCTGCTGCACAGCTTCCATCTGATGCATCTGGGGGAGAATTAGTCTGAATAAATGCCCACTGATAGCAACAAAACAACATAAAAATGTGAATCAGTTTTACCACCAAGTAGCTAATTTAACATTATGATTGTTGCATAAAAAAAAATGGAGAAGTTTTACAGATGATTGAAAAGGTTTAAATGAAAGAAAGCAAGCGAGAGTTGCAAGTCAAACAGCAAATAAGGTTTTAGAAATATCTACGATGCTCAGAAATTATTCACCTGCTTCTGGGTGAAATTACCAAATAGGAAACCAAATTGAAATTTAAAACAGCCAAAGCAAGCAGAGGAGAATGTTTCTCTTCTCTCACAGGCTGCATCACTGATGGGTTTTATAGATTTTAAGCCATCCAGCGACTCTCACATTGAATTCTCGATACGTTTCCACATCGCTTTCATCATCTACCCATCTAGAGGGAAAACTCTGCTGCCTGTTGAACAACATCCAACAGTAAATCTCAAACTTATATTCTCTCATATGCTGTATGTGAAGCATATAGCTGGATATTCATTGATTCATCCATACAGTTGGCTTGAAAAATCCTCAAAATATAGTGACATGAGGGGTTTGTACAGCTCATCATTTGCATCACAGGAGAAAATAGGTCTTATACTGATTAAAAAGCTGCTATTTAATGGTTTATTAAACTCATTTGATAAAACATATTGATTACAGCCATTGTAGTCAGCTGAAACATGGCAAGACATGAATCTCTGATTAATCTGATGTTAAAAATTAGATTGAAATGTGACACAGTAAGATTGCCGTCATGACTTTTATATAAAAGTGACCAGAGAGTTTATCCAGACTCATGAGATCAACATGTCAAACAGACTTAAGATTAAGGTAAAGGCGGCAAAATCCAAGTGGTTTTGGAAGTATTTTATATTTTTCTGTGGATCTGAAAAGAAGCAATCAATATTGAAGTGTAGACGTTTAGAGATTTAACAGTTCAGTAATTGCAGCCACTTTTTTCCACTTAATCCCATTTTCACTGGTGCACGGAGGCAAAATTACAAAAAACCATCACTATCCACGTACCTATGGACCTGACTGTGATCTGACCTGTCTCAATGGTAATGTGTGCATGTCGTGTTTTGAAATTCCAGGAATTCAAGGTTTATCTTTCTGCAGCCACAGATGACAATCAGTCACCACCGACGTCCTTCTTCCTTCCACCTCTTCGTCATGGAAATCCTCCTTCTCATCTCTTACCAGCGCGCTAACAGATTTAGAAGTTCAGCGACAGCTGCCGACAGACGAGAACTGATGTGTTGCTTCATTTAAGGTCATCCGATCGAGCAAACTCATCATTACACAGTATTATTATATTGATATTATTATTCCCTTATTCCACTTCATGTCTGTCAGTGCAGTTACTGGCAGGGAGGCTATTTGAAAGAGTTGGAAAAATAGATCAAAGAGAAAGAAAATAAGTACTATTCCATCTCAAAATGACCATCGACGTGCCCTTAAGCAACCCATTTCGCCCCTATCTGCTCCAGCACAGTGACTCATACACCGGCACATGAATGGAAACATACTGTAACTGTACGCAAGGGTGTGAAGCGGACCTCAGCGGAAACATGAAACACGCCAGCTCCTGGTCAACCGATCCTGGCTGAATCATTTTCAGAGGTTTTCAGGCTGCCTCGGTGGAGTTCATCGATTTTTCCACACACAGCTAATGTCATACTTCAACTACCGCCGTTGTGAAGCTCTTCGGTTTCCTCTGAGATCAACAGTTATGATATTAAAACGATAAAAAACTAGAACAAGCTGAAAGACGAACAAAAATGTAGGTTTTGTTCTATTACTGATGAAACGCAGGATGTGAGGATGTGTGATAAAGACATGGCTTAAAAACTCTACCGACAGTTTGATGCATGGAAAACATCAGAAATCAATAGCAGAAAGTACTGAAAATGTCACAACCCAGCTCACATGCAGAGTAACTGGGTGTCACAAGGATCAATATATTGTAAACATAAAGTCGGGGCTGGTTGTCATGTGAGGCTGTATCATCGTAAAAGTGGGAGCAAGTGATAAAAAAAAAAAAACTCAAGTTAAAGGGCAGAACACAGTTACTGGTATTATCATGCACTTCTGAGGTACATTAAGAGTTCCACATACAGCTGAACACCATAAGTGTTGCCTTTGGCAGCCTGTGGGGGCGATGCATTGATCGGACAACAGCTCCACTCAACTCATTACCTGATCGAATGGTACAGAATGGGAGCACAACATGCTGCTACACTCACAGAGCCTGTGATTTACAGTATGCACCAGCAGACTGTGGAGGTTCTCAGTCATCCAGGTCACGGGAAAAAGCAGCAGGATCTCGTTTTTTATGTTCTTGAAAGGCCTCATGAGGCAATTATTTCAAGAGAAGCCCAGTTGCTTTTTTATTGAAGCTCCTAGAAGTCAGAGGTTTCCAGTAATAAGGCCACTTCTAAACAGATGCAACGCTTTGTTCATTTTGTGAAAGAGTTACATCCAGTCATGTGTGAATGCTTCATTGCGTTTAATGACACGAACATTGTGCGTTCATGACGTATGTCTGCACTTCTTGTTTGAAACTGTAATCCTCCCTCTGAATGCTGAGCTTCTTTTACATCGGCAGCATCAGAAACTTTTAATGGACACTTCCACAGTTTTTCTGCCACTAGTCTGACTGAGTTCTCTGGCTTCCTCCCACACAGTCCAAAAACATGTTGAGGTTAATTGGTGATTCTAAATTGTCTGTAGGTGTGAATGTGAGTGTGCTTGGTTGTCTGTCTCTGAGTGTAGCCCTGTGATAGACTGGTGACCTGTCCAGGGTATCAGCAGTGTATAGATGATGGATGGATGGATGGATGGATGGATGGATGGATGGATGGTCTGACTGACTAAATGTAGACTGTGAGTATCAACTTGCCCTTGTCTGCTCATTTCGGGCAGCTTTGTCTTTTCCTTCCACTATGAGCATGTATATTCTTAAACTACTACTAGAACCTCAAAGCAGCATCTTAGGAAACTGAAAATTCTGTTTTGCCAAAGCTTTGGATCATGTAGTAAGGCAGCTCTGCTCGCTTTTCCTCGATTAATTATCCATTTTAGCGACAGTGCTTGCCTCCCTGAGTGCAAAAGTTGCACCAAAACAATTCCAACTCAAAGGCTGTGATTGGTTTAAAGAAATACGACCAGAACGTTTTTTTCCTCTTCAGTTCTGGCAAACCAATCATTGCTGGTTGACATAAAATGCACTGAAACCAGACTTACCTATAAAACTAGAATATGCTAATTCAGAGAGATTTACTGACTTCAAAGCAACAATGTATTGTATATGAAAAGTGTATTTGAAAAACAGAGCTTAAATATATCTTAACACAACTGACTCATGAGATTTTTATTCCCACCAGGTGAAGACAGTTGTTTCGCTGATCTGAGGAACTGATGAAGAATTCAGAGTAAAACTAATAAAGCATTAAATCACACAATCAATAGTTCTTGGTTCTGTTCTGTAGTTTATCTTTGTCCAGAGAAAAAAAGAATCCAGTAATTCTATCCTTCTCTAGACCGCACCAAAAATACAAAAATGTGAAAAATCTATGACAGCTCTGATCCTGTTCAAGGCCTGGTGGCCGTCTTACCCTCTGGGTTCGACTACATATTTCAAATTTGCGCTGGTTGCATTTAGAGGCCAAAACAGGGTGTTAAGTTGCTCTTTTAACAAATAGAAGGAATGAGGAACGGGATGATGCCAGACGACAAAGGAAATCCAATAGGACCGCTAAAAAAAACAGAAAAAAGAGAAACATGCAAAACAAGAAAAACCACATACGAGCTCTCACCACAGAATACTACATTTTCAAAATGCAGCACACAGGCTGCGTCTAATGCCAACTGTTTTGCTCGAGGCAGAATCAGTTACGACTTCATGCAGTAACCAGTAGCACAGGAGGTAATGTGGGATTCTAAATGTCAACAAACACCAAAAAAATCTACTTAAAGATGCTGAAGACTGAGGCTGCCAGCGTACTTACTGCTCACATATTCCTGATCTCTAATGTTTTAACGCACAACTGTTTCCAGCAATGCAAAGTCTTCAAACCAGGGTGGAAGACTTGTTTCCCTGCATCAGCTGCATTAAAACACACAAGCTTAACAACATGTTTGCCTTATAAATCTTTGAAACAGCAGCTCATTACTTGAAGAAGTCAAGAAGATCATATGAAGAACAAACCGCCATTAAATTTAGCCCATCCTCCAAAAACAAAGACGCCTTTGAAGTGTCTTCTCTCGACACACATCTACGGGACGACTCTTGAAATATTTATGACGAGGAGGCTTGTGAGCAACTGCAGGACTGAGCGACGGCGCAGAGCTTCAGGTCTCGGTGTAATTCATCGAGGCTTTCAGGCAGCCTCTCCAACGTGTCGGGGCAGGCCGCCGAATCAGTCAACCTCAAGGTAAACACAATGTTTAACTTAGAGGCAAATCTTGCAGATCAGGATTTTAAAAAGCCCTTTGAAGTTAATCAGCTCACTTAAGAGAACACACATCCTCAGTCGGGGTGGTCAAGGAGGGCTGAGGTGAGTCACACTGCCGTCAGCTTCTCCACTAACCCTGTTGCATAACATACGAGATGAAGAATTCCTCCATTGTTTCTGACTCGTCGTGTTGCATTTGCACCGTGTGGTGTTGCAAGGACGAGGGATTTCCTTGGAAATCGTCACAGCCAGAACGTAGGTGGGAAGATTAAAAAAAAGTCTCACCTGTTCTAGTTTGAAGATGTGCTGGTTGAAGTAATGCTGGAGACGCTCGTTGGCGAAGTTGATGCAGAACTGTTCGAAGCTGTTGTTCTCGTAATCCTCAAAACCGAAAATGTCGAGCACCCCGATGGACAAGATCTGAAGTAGATGGACGCCAAAAAATACATTTAAAAAAAACCCCAAAACTTAATATTTCATCATATAACTAAGCTTATCTATGTTGGTAAAGTTCATTCATTCATTCACTAACAAATGAGAAAATCTGACATAATTACAATCGACAGTTTTACCAACTAGGGTTCAACCGATAAGGTGTTCAATACTGAAGATCAGTAATTAGGAAGACAGAAAACCAATATTTACAAAAGATATAAAATAGATTTAAAGTGGAAATGAAAATCTTGGTGTCAAAATCTAGAAAAACACAAACTCCAACTCAAATGGCTTCATTTTATTTCTATTTTTCTATTGATTGGCTATTACTGAACATATGTAACCAATCAGAGCTGTTGGTGGGACGCAACTAAGTGGTGACTACAGACAGAGAAAGGTACATTTTTTAATTTATTTTATCAGGAATTGGTTAAAAAATAGAAATAATTGAAAAAAAAAGCTGAATATCGGATCCAGTGCTCGGCCAGGCTGATAATGGACTGACCTCTGTCACCTCTAACAGTAATTTAATGACTAAATGTCCAAATAAAAATCCTTGTGCCCTACTAAAACTTTCTCATTTATCAGTTATTACTCTGAAGTGTCCATGCTGGATGACTTCTAATCAGACTAACAAGACTCCCCTCATGTCTGATATACCACAGTGTGGCCTCACCTTGGTGGTCTCCTCCAGGTCCTTGATGTTGAGCAAAGCGTGGTTGATCCTGAAGACGATCCAGTCGAACAGAGCGCTGTACAGGGACTTCGCCATGGAGTCTCTCACCGTATTAGCCTGCAGGCAAACAGACGGGATCGGTGTCAGCATAGTTCCACTGGTAACATCTCATCTAACAACTACTATGGTTTGGTTTTAACAACACAAAGTGACGCACTGGGTTTGAGTCAACATCGTCTTTGAAATCAAACGTATACAGTGAAGTGTTGGCAATAACGGAGTGGAGTGTAATAATAGTAATATTCTTTTGCTTGATCAGCTGATATCATCTGTTGACAAGATTATCTCATCTTCATTTTAGTTTGTGTCCTTGCTTTCCATGTTAACCCAACAAGCAGCGTCTGGATGCTTTTTCCTAGATGTCTTCTTGGCAGTATAACAGCGAAAATGTCAGAAATCACAAAAAAGAAATAAGAAAAGTTACATTTCTTTGATTATTTATTTTACAAACGGAATTTAAAACATTTCCCTGCAGTCCATCTGAAAAGTCCCTCAATTGTTTTCATGTAATTGTTGGTTGCAGGTTTGTTACCAAAGGCTTCACGATTACACCAAGGAGTGCAGGATTTTTGGTTTTTAACAGAATCTCCTTACGATAAATGGTTTAGTGAGACATGTAGAATAAAGCACAATTGATTGAATATCACGATTTTAAGGTTATAACTGGTCCCGTTTTATGACGATGAGTAGTTCAAGGACCATTGGAAAGTTGAAAATCAGATGATTCTTTCCGTTTTTGCCTCTCAAACAAAAGATGAGCTGCTTCCTCATAGTCTGTCATTACTTCCTCACGAGAGCGACTTCTGCTAGAGCTACATCTGTATTCTCTGAGATCTGGTGTTCCAGCATGTACGCAGCATTGCATCGCTTTGTCCGACCAGCTGACCAATCAGGGCTTTTCAGCAGGGGGGTCTTTAAATGGAGTTAAAACAGAGCGTGTTGAACAGAAATGTGCAGCATGAGAAAATGTTTGTCTTTTTTGAACACTGTGGCATGTAAAAAATATTCCAGTACACCCAAAATGTCTGAATGTGCATAATAGCAGCTCTTTAACAGTGCTTCTTTATTCTAGTTTTTGTCGAGCGCTTTGCAGGGCTTCTGGCAGAGTGTTGCCTTCATGGTGTCTGTCTGTGCGGTCAGTCGGTTCAGGTGCCAGCTGATGCTCGGCACCTCTTCAGACGGTATTCCTGGACTACTGAGCGTCCCACACATCTGTGTTACACATCAGAGCTTGGCCTCGAATGCCATGCCTTGTAACAGTGCGCTATTGTGCAGGTCCAGCGTGAGAAACAATGAATGGAGGCATGTAAATGAAGAAAATAAAACAGATTTATACCAGGGTCAAACTTTGAAACTCAGACAACGCTGGTCTCATGTGAACACTATTATTCAAAAACAAGCTGAGATGTGCAGAAAGTTGTATTTTTACTCCAAAATCACCCGTTTATACTTGGACCTGAGTGTAAATCACATCCCCACAGTGCTATCAGTGGGCCAGGTACTCAGAATACCTGACAGAAAGTATAAAATAGGATATCCTAAATGTAAAAAGCAGATATCAAGGAGAAAAGAGACAGTCCTTCTCTGACACCGATATTCTCGACTGAAACTTTGGCAGCATCGCAGACTTGCTGGCAGGCTGCAGTGTGTCGCAGCAGGACGTCCCTGCTCCATTATTAATGTCATTAGCCAGAATAACACCAGTCAGGCTGCAGCACGAGATCTGCCTGTGAGATGTGGTGAAGCACAGACAGCCAGGGCCTCATGTGTCCATATGAAAGTAGGACGAACTCATCTGTTGTTTTCAGTTTGAGTATGATTGATGGTCTAAAACAAAGTACTGCAGCTGTCTGGATGAGCTTGTTAATCGTCAGCTCATTTTTCAAAGCAAAATAAAGTCCTGCACTCCTGTGGAAACAGCTCAACCCCGACTACAGGGAGAGAGGGAGAACTAAAACATGTCTTCTGTGCAGTGCAGCACAGTTAGATATCATGGAAAAGTAAGACTCAAAGTTTTGTTTCTTTGATTGTTTATTTTACAAAAACTTAAAAAAAAAAAAAAAAAAAAAAACGAGAATCAACACTTTTCCTGCAGTTTAACTGAAAAGTCTGAGAATTTTTTTCAAGTCACTGTTGGTCATAGCTGTGTCATACATGGCTCGACGACTGCGCCAAGGAGCCCAGAATTTTTTGTTTTTAACAGAATCTTGTCAACAGTGATGATTTCTTTTTTGGCAATTTTTCAAATGAGACATGTCAAAAATAGCAATTTTTTAGTGTCAGGTTTGGTAATGATGGAGCGATTAATGGTTTAACTACAGAGGATAAAACAAAGTATCTCAAATGTGTGGACGAGCTCGTTAGTTAGTGATACACTAATTTTCTTAGGAAACTTTGCAAGAAGCTGGAAACAGCGACCGCCCTGAAGTGGTGACTGAATGCAAATATCTAGGGATGGTACCTGATGAAAAACTGACTGGGGATTTTAACTATCATAGTTAATGTGGATGGAAATGTAGACTGTATCATTGAGTTGTGGAGAGTTTTTCACTTGTCTGCTTGGTATTTTTTACTCTGTAGTTAGTTTGAACAAACTCAATGACACTGTTGACATCATTCGCAAGATTGTTGGTAAAAGACAGCACAACATGAGACTATTTTGTGAGTCTTGGATGACAAGGAAAGGACAGATCATCTTGTATGAAGCATCACACCTTCTCTTTGGTGAAGTTGTTACAATCACGGTCCATCCTCTGCAGACTTCCCCTGACAGGAGATCCTTTATTTCCCCCAGTATAGCTTCGTAAAGAGCAACTTGCAGGTTATTTTTATTTATTAATTTATTTTTAGTTTTAGAAATGTAGACATGATTGTGTTAAAAGTGAATTTGCATGATTTTACATGTTTTAAGAGACATAAAGGCAGAATTTCAAACAAAAATTTGCATTACGTCAGTTTAGAGAGTCTCTCCTCAGTTCAATGTGCAACAGCAGGTTGTCGTGAGTCTGAGTGTGCGATTTACAAAGATGGTCTTCATAGTACTTTGATTTTTACATCCTAAGAGTTTCAGTAAAAACCAATTGGACTTACACAGTCGAGTCCAGTTGGTTTTCACTGAAGCTCCCCGGATCACCATGACCTGGATGACTGAGAATCTACACAGACTTTCAGCGTTCTATCATTCTTCATCATGGTGAATTATTGTGCTTTTTCTACAAGCTCCTCCCTGTCAGGACTCTGGGTCCACATGTTCCCTACTACGGAGTGAGCTTTAGTGGTTGGGTGTGTTTTGTGCAGGTGAATTTTAAGACAGGAGGATTATGTTCAAGGAGTCGTGTTGGAGTTCTGGTCGGGACGTCTAAGTCTGGACCGTGTGAAACTGATAGCTGCTTCAGTTTCACCGTCAGCAGCAGCTTTCGGTACCGTTGCTGAAGGGAGCAACGGTCACTGATCTGTCAGAGATTCAGCTCAATGAAAATACAAACTGTTCACTCTGAGTCCTACTTTATGTCTGCAAACTTCTGAATTAGTCAGTTTTCTTCCACCTCTCTCTTTCTCCAAAACAAAACAGTAATGTAGGGACGGTTTATGGTGGACAAATGAGACTGATAGCAGCTGATCTTTGTGCATCAGTTTCTGTCAGGAGAAAGTATCAACACTCTAATATTTAACAGCCAATGCTAATTATTTTAGCTGCTGATAGCAAACATTATGATAATGTGACACCTGTCCTACTCTTAATTTTCTCCTGATCCTTGCTTGTTTCTGGTCTCCTGTCTGCCTGGAAGGCTCTTGGTTATGAAGCTGTGGTGCATTATATGAGTATAAATATACATTTTCAGCATCTTTAGTGTCAAAACTACGACTTGCGATCCATATTTCTTATTGTTAAATTAGACCTACTTTGGCTCCTTACCCTTCTGTGACGTTACAACTAAATTATGGTTTTTGAGACGGACATAAAACTCTGTGACAAAAACTAATGTTATTTAATGTGTCCAAATGTGCACCACAGTACATTATTGAATTATATATTATCCATATTGTTATTATTATGACTGTAGTGCACAGCCAGACATATTTTCAAAAAATCCAGGTTATGCTTTATTTTCCTGCACAACAATTGCCAAACTGCAACCTGCTCTTAAAACAAACCTGTGTGACATGACGTGTGTGTTACTTGCATTTTGCTGTCTAGACCCTCACTGACGTTGTTTTGGGGCACTTTAGATTAAATATCTGTCTGAAAGCGTAATGTCCTCTCTGTTGTGGCTAAATTTATCTAGCAGTTGCCACAGACACCGAGAATTTCAGAAAGGATAATAAACAAAACTAAGTTGTGATGGATGAGGCTGGAGAAGGTTCGCGTTTACGTCAAAGCCTAATGGAAATATTAGCTTTAGGACTGTATATACTGAATGTGCAGCCTGTATGAGGCTCAGCTGCCAGGAAGACAAAGATGATATTTAGATAACACTAAATATTTGGAGGATATAGAAGTTCACTTCATATGTCTCAGTTAGGGGCTTAATTATAAACTTTATGTCGCACAGTATCTGAGAAAGAAGCGTTCTGGATGAGTGTTGTGCCTTCTTTCATAAACACAGATTATTTAACGAAAGCTTCCTCGTCACATTATTGAGGAAAACTAATTCCTGTATCCGCTGGAAAGATTTGACCTCGCTGCAGCTAAAGGACTTCAGAAACAAAACAAACCAGTGGGCAGCTACCGTAACGTTAAAATTCTCTCGTTTCTAAATAACGAACCGGGATATTTTTAGCACCCTCGGACCAAATGCGTCTTCCGTGAGTCACGACTGATATTATTCTGAACCCCATACGTACTGACTCTAATGACCTGCGAGCGTTTCATTATTTTGAGGAAGTCGGAACCTAAAACATTTGCAGCCTCATAAATCCGACCCAATGGAAGAAAGTCATTAGGGGAACGCTCGGATTTCTTTTGAGGTTTTCGAGTGTATGATTTCAGTTAGCGGGCGATGAGATTGTTGAGACTGTTGGAACAATATTTACATGGAGACCACCCAGTGTGCTACCAAAACAATCACTGTTTGTTCATATGAAGGGACTCCTGAATATCCAACAGGCCACTGGGAGCTTGTTGTGGTGGGAATGCACAACATGCCACCATCTACTGGGAGAGTTTGTGGTAAAACATCGCAGAGATAATTTCCTTTGGTGTGTATTTAAAATTTGTACAGTAAAAAAAAAGAAAATGACCCAACTTACAGTATGTGTGAAGGAGAAGATATGGACCTTCTGAGGCATCACAGCGACTTAACACAATCTATGCGCATCACAATATCTGGATTCAAAGTGATCCAGATTGATATTTAACTCTCTGTATCCATGTTGTGGGCTTTTCTCTCGTCTGCAGACCGTGACCTGTGTTTGTTTTCGGAGTGAAAGCTGCAGAGGGGCTTGAAATGCCTTCGCTGCTCTCTAAACAGGCTGAAGGACTTTGTGCACGTGCGTCTGTGAATGTGTTCATGTGTGGCCAGAAGCTGCAGATAAAACCAGCGAGCAGGAGGAGATCCGCTGCTGGTGCAAACTGTCCCGTAAACAGACTCAAGAGTAGCGACTACAGCAAGATTACTGAGTGCACAAAGTGCCTTCGGTCGCATGAGAAAACTCTCAAACACGCTCATACCCGAGCATCGTAAAGTCTGCCAACATGTGTGCCAACAGGTTAAAGTTTAGAGGTTACTGTTCTTGCAATCAGTATGCAAGAAATAAAAAGTGAAAAATAGCGTTTTTTGCCTCACTAACATGCCCATTTGGTGTTTTTATCTGCTAGAAGACGCATCAGGAGCAACGTCATGGCTGAGCATTTCTGTCTTAAAGTTTTAACGTATCGATGACGGTCTCAGAAACACAGATTCATACTTTTAAGGTTTCATACACAACAAACCTAAGAAACTAATCCTATTAGGTCCCAGGGTGGAGCTTTTTGCTCCATTATTCTTTCTACAAATCCCATTTTTCAGTTTTAAACATGTATGGATAAATTACTCTAATATTACAACTTGTGTAGCATAGAGTGGTTTTACAGTGTTGGAGCAGAGTTGTGGGAGAGCTGGTGTGCTTGAGCTGCAGCGAATGAGGAGAGGTCGGTGGAAAGAGATGCTGGGACTTTATAGATTCTGGAGGAAGCAACAGTGTAGAGTTACATTTAAACCATTTTAAGGAAAGAAATCCTTATTTTCACACTTATTTCAACTGCTAAACATGTAACTTTGATACACAGAGATGAGTTTCAGGGGAATAATCAACAACCAGGAGAGGGACTTTAACAACAACAACAACACAGTATCATGTCTTTCAACAAATGTACTGATCAGTTACTGTTTACTTATTTTGCCATCAGTATGAACACACTCTGCTAAACTAAAACAATTGCTCAACCCTGAATGATGCACTGAAGGATGTGCAGGTCATCATCTTGTGTCACAGAAATCTATCATTTAAAATAAGCAAAAATCCATGTCATATGGGACCCCATCGCTCAGAGCAGGACGAATTAATAAATGGAGAAAACAGATTTGTTGCTTTGTTGTATTTACAGCTACAGACGAGTGACTAAATTACGGAAAAACCAGAACTCTTGACCTCTATAATGACGGGGTCCAGTCCACTTGGAGTGTTTTTGCTGGCTTGGTTTTAGGGAAGGATCACTGCCAACCAATACAAAGTGAATGATCACCTTTATCCCAAGAAGCATTTCTACTCTGATGGGAGTAGTTTCCTCCAAAATGACGATTCGTTCCTCTAGAGAGACTTGCAGAACCAATACTAAAGTGCAGTGAAGCTGTTCTGGCGGCCCAACACCTCACTAAGACACTTCATATTTTTGTTTTTCTGCATTTTCGTGCAGCGTGGGTTCTCTCCGGGTTCTCCGGCTTCCTCCCACAAGGTTCAAAAACATGTTGAGGCTAACTGGTGATTCTAAATTGTCCGTAGGTGTGAATGTGAGTGTGCTTGGTTGTCTATCTCCAAGTGTAGCTCTGTGATAGACTGGTGACCTGTCCAGGGTGTCCCCTGTCTTCACCCTGAGTCAGCTGGGATGGACTGCAGCCCACCACGACCCTAGTGGGGACTAAGCAGTGCATAGATAATGGATGGATGGATGGATGTATGTATTTTCATCTACTGTAAAGCTGAAAAGCTGCTGCCGTCTCACCTCGGCCAGTTTGTAGGGAACAATCAGCTTCTCTCCCACAGTAACCGTCTTCCTTGTTGTCAGAGCTTCAAACAGCATCTCTTCTTTGACCTGGTGACGACAGTGAGAGTTCTGACTTATTCAGAAGAAACCTGACACTTTGTTTCAAAGCTGCCTTTACTCTCTGGCAGCATTTTAAGTGAATCGGTGCTTGGTGAACTCTACAAAGTCAGTGCTTCGAGCTGAAAAAACAGCAAAGCAAACAAATAAGCAGAGCACTGAGAGCGGAGGTATCGTGTTAAGACTTGATATAAACACACACTTAGAAACTGTAGAAATAAACTCTCAACAGCATCACTTTGCAGTACCTCCAGCAGCTCTGAGACGACGGGCAGCTCCTCTGGGTTACAGATGTCTATGGAGTCGTCCCGGTAGGTTTTCTTCTTGTAGCGGATGTTGCCCAGGTGGAGGATGGCCGACAGCAGGGAGAAGATCCTAAACAAGAGTTCAGGGAACGATTTAGAGATGCTGCACTAGAAACATGCTGTCTGTAGCTCCAGTCACTACCAATCAGTGGAATCCTTTGATTCCATTAGTCAAGGTTTGATTGGAATAATCACATTACAAGACCGACAGTGAAGATGGCTGGAAGCTACAGAGGCCAACAAGGTCACTGTGTTCAGTGTCTGAACTTGCATGTCAGATGATCTCTATAAACCAGCGATGCCTCAGATAAATGACATGTTTTTCAAGAAATAATATATTTATGGGTATTTATGTGGCAAATGCTGGATTGTGAGTATTGTCAGGGACTATTGAACTCCCTGAACCCCAACCGGTTTCTGGGCATTTTTAACTCATTGTGGACTCATTTTTCACTGCAATACAAAGTCCTGCACCTTTATGGAAACAGCACAACCATGGCTAGAAGTAGAGAGAACTCAGAAATGACTTTTGTGCACTATAACAGAATTAGAATGCAAAAAATAATAAAAAAGAAAAAAATAAAGTTACATTTCTTTGATTATTCACTTTACAAAAATTGAAAAAAAAATCTTAGAATCAACATTCAACATGATGAAAGATCTTATTAATATTAGGGGGGCCATGGCAAGTCCACATGTTATATATTTTTATTTACTTCCATACTTGTCTCCTATCTGTTCTACGTGAGCAAGTACAGCCTGCAATTCAGTCCACTTACGCTGAAAATTTCCAGAATTTTTGTCATGTCTCTGTTACTCACAGCTGAGTCAATTATGATGTTTTAGTTGTGCAGAGAAATGCAGAATTTCTTGTTTTTCACAGAATATGAATAGCACAAACTGTTTATTTTGGGAAAATTTTTAAATGGGACATACAGAACACTGTTTTTTGTGTGATTTTATGATTTGGTGATGTGATCAGTTCAAGGACCGTCACAAAGTGAAAAAAGATCTTATGATTCTCTCGTTTTTTACAGTTTCTGGCTTTGATAAATGGTATAATTCTAAGATGCCTTTAAACGCTGCTGGTGGTTTGTGGGGTGTTGGGGGTTAACTTCTTTCAAAGTTACATTTGCATTGTGTGTTGCTGCAGTTCCAGATTTCTCTGAGGTGCTACATTTAAGGATAGTCCGGCTGGTTTTGGGGCTCAGAGGGTTGATGTCCTTGGTGTGTGTGCTACTTACTGTTTTCGCGTGGCAGGAAGAAAGCCCACCATCTCCATAGCCAGCTGAAGCCTCTCAAAGTCGTGCTTCAGATCCTCTCCTTCCACAGTGAAGCAGTCCTGGAATAAAAAGCAGCACCCGGGTGTTATCAGGCCTGCAGCAGCAGCCGTTACGACACGGCGGCCTGGAAGCCAGAAAGAGCTAATGACAAGTTGCAATGAGGTTTTAAAGGACTTACTGAAAACTGTTGACATACACAGGGCCCTCATGCTTTTAATGTTTACAGACCGTCTCGCAAAAACGCTTAAAATAGCTTTGCAGTTTACGTTGTAGCTGAAACAAACAGCAGAGTTGCCTGAAGTAGACAAAATGAATGAGTCATGGTAAAATAAGCTATCATTAAGGAGCTCGGGGTCGAACAAAGCAGCAACACCGCAGCCCGATTGTGCAGAGCGAACGGCGGCTTGTGCAGGTTCTGCTCATGGAGCGGAAAATCTGGCTTCAGCTTCCTCTTTAAACCCATCCACAGAAATATGGAACGCTGAGGGGAGCAGCAATTTATGGGTTTGTGTGATGAATGATAAGCTAAACTAGCAGAGAGGAGACACAGGAGGAGTTTCTTTTCATATGATAGCAGCCATGTGTGCAGAAAGACACTAAAGTGCATGGAAGTGTGCAGAAGTAAGGGAAAATTCTACACAGTGCTACATGAATACATGTGCAGATCTGCAAAAAAACAAAAGAGAGCATTAAAATTCTGTGTATTAAATAATGAAAATATGATATATCAGAACAAATGCACATAACGAGGAGTACATTTCTGGATAAATCCGGATCTGCGCTGGTTGTTTACAAGACGAGGAAAAGCTTTTTCCCAGACGAGCAACACATGCTTTGATGTAACTGCATAACTACACAGTTTTTCAGTACATACACCCACCGTAATGTGAGCTCTGCTTTATGGGCCCATTCCACTATGGCTGCCATAATTATCACATACCGAGGCCTCAGAAACACAAACACTCCAAACATGAGACTCACACTTCCACCAACGTGCCTCCTTCGTTCTCGCCTCCTTCTCGTGGCAGAAACTCGCACTGACCTGCTAGTGACTCTGATGTCGCGCTTGCCAGAGCAGGAAGAGCTGCATTTGTTTTCCAAAAAGTTCACATTGCTCGTTCTGATTCAGAACTCTGTCCAGTGAAAACTAACCGGCAGTGTAGTAAAAAGGTGTTTAAGGATTCCAGATGTCGTAAATGTTTCAGACATTACACTAAATGACATTAAAAAATAATCATAATCATTGAAATACATCCACTTGGAATACTTTCTGTGCTAATGTGTAATAAAACGTCTGTTTCTTCTACAGTGACTGGACTGAATAGATCAGTGTGTTCTTATCCGACCAAATTCTCATTGTTTGGACAATCTCCATGCTACTTTCATTAGCAAAGAAGCTCATCATCAACAGCCTTCCAGGATTAATCCATTAGTTTTGGCTGTGAGAGCAACAGACTACCTGAGGACACTGCTGTGTTTTTATAACTTTGAAGTTGCCCAACCTGATGGAGACCGTTGGGTTCAATTTATTCACTCCACAACATTCACTCCAAACTAATGAACAAAATGTCAAAGAAGTTGTTGGTTTGTTCAAACAGATGGCCAAAAAGTTACGTGGCAGCAGTTTGTACATCAAAGCTCGACAACCAACATGACCGATCAGGTAGAAACACAAGTTTAATTAAATTCCTCAATAGTTCTCGTGCTTTAATCAACACTTGATGTAGTTTTATTGTCAGAAATCATATGAATATGTGCAGGCACACGCCGGTCAGCTCCAAGCTAGTATAAAATAATCAGGTTAATATGATGTAATACGTTGCAAATGCTGTTTTTTGTTGTTATTGATTTATAATTCATTTAGGCTACTAAGGCTGGCAGGTACAGATAAAAAGCTTATTTTTTCCTCCTCTCTGACAAACTGGCGGACTGATTTTGTTTGGTTGACGACAAACTGGGCAAATGTGCCGTAATGTCTGGACTATAAGCTGCAACTTTTGTCACACGCTTTGAACACTGTGGCTTAAACAATGATGCACTAATTTATGGATTTTTACGATTTTTACGAATTTGCCTGGAGATGAAAGTGACATTAAGAACGACAACAAAAGAGAGACTGAGAAAGTGTGTGACCAAGTAATTCTGAGGCTGTTCAATTCCGACACTGAAGAAGACGATTCTAGTGGTTTTAGTGCAGGAGGAGGATGAAGATAGCCATCAATGACTTTTCCTGGTAGGTGACTGTATTTTTTGTTTTTAACCAGCCGTGTTACAGGCACTGTTTAGAAAAAAGCATTTACGGTACGTGTTTGTGTGTGTTACTGGTACGTATTTAATTAAAAGTTAGAAAAAAATCTTCCTGTGTGAATATCTCATGTTACAACGTGAACACCTGCAGCTTATAGACAGTGGCGGCCTATATATGTGAATTTAGATTTTTTTCTTTTTAAAGTTAGTGGGTGCAGCTTATACTCAGGCGTGGTCAACAGTCCAAAAATGACGGTACTGCCCTTTTGTATTCACGTACATCACAGTTTTCATGAACTCCATTGTGCATCTTACAGTTTTATCAGGATCCAAAAATAAAGGCAACTTACCGAGTGAGAAGTGGAAAATTACCAACTCATCAAATGCAACTCAAAACTCAAAGTGTTCCATAATAACCACAAACACCACAAAATCCCAACACAAACCACAAAAAAACTCCTTTTCGATCATTGACTTCCTCCAGTGTTTCTAGTGTTTCTCCTGCAGAATGTGTGTCTTTGGTCGAATAACTTTCTTGAGCCTGATGCTAGAAATGGTCTTGACACAAAATGAGTCACATTTTGGAGTTTTTTTTTATCAAGGAGCTGGACGGATCAGAAACACTGCACTGGTCAATGATCAGAAAGGATTAGAGCAACACAGGCAGCTACAGTGGCCAGGATATGACTAGACATACCACCATAACTCAGAGAAGCAGCACAACAGGGGAAAGCAAAAACAAACACAGCTAAAATAAACACTACCCAAACCAAACCAGGAAATATCCAAAAAGCAACAACATGAGCGGCGAGGGGAAGGGCACGGAGGGATGTGTGCAGCTGTGCAGAGAAAACTGTGGTTTGAGCTGCAAAGACGCTCAGGTGACACGAAATCTCCGACATGTGCAGACAACACGGACACACAGAGCCGAGATACAGATACTGACCGGTTCACTGTCACAGTAACTGTCCCAGTGCAGTTGGTGGCTTGTCTTTGTCATCTGGAAACGTTAAGGCAGAGTTTACAGGAGGCGAGGTTCAGGGTTAGACAGCAGCATTCCAATGACAGCACAAACTATACAGTCCAACACGAGCACAGATTTATGTGCAAACAGCAGCGATGGAAGGACGAGATGTTAAGACGCAGACAGATATCAAGACAACACTTAAAGACACCGATGACAGACGAACGCGCACAAAAAGCACAGACAGACACTCGACTACGAACACCTGTTCTGATTGAACGCATCAAGGCGTAACAACAGCAGAAGATGGAATGAAAGCTGCAGATATGTAACACACATGCAAATTAAAGCTTCACAATGAAGGATTGGCTTTACAGCAAACCGTGAGTCTGTGTGATTCACTTTCTGCCTCTCAGGAAACCATCGATTCCCATTCATACAGATAAGGTAGAAAAATCAACAAAGTGATTGATACCCTCTGTTCCATGTAAAGTAGTTATTGCATTGAATTGTGTTCCAGTTTATAAGCAGGAACCCTTTAGAGGTTTGCTTAAAAAGGCAGCAGAATCTGGGATCTTACAATCTGAAGCTAAAAAGCTAAATTCAAAGAGTTGGATTGACAGTGACGTCCCTATCTGCTCGTGTGTGTCTACTGGATTTTTCTTTTCAGCATCTCTTCAATGCAAAGAAAGTCTCATCTGGGGTGTCATGTAAACGCATCATTTTTGTTTCTTATCACTGCAGTACCACACAATGCGAATGGTACTTTAACATTAACCCTCTGAACCACAAAGCCTACCGGCAAGTTTGAAAGAAAAAAATCTATTAGAAAAAAATCAACTTTCTGACGGTCATTGAAGAACTCATCTGTGTCATGCTACTCCATCAAAATCACATTATTCTACGTCTCAATTAAAAATCGAACAAAAATAAATCCTTTACTCCACCAGGATTTTGTAAAAAAAAAACAAGAATTCTGAGCTCATTGGCAAAACAGTGAAGCCATGAGTGACTCAGCTGTGACTCAGAGTCATGTCATGAAAAAATCAGTGATTTTTCAGTTGAACTGCAGGCTGTGTTTACACAGAGCAGAGAGGAGACAAGCAAAGTAAAAATGTAATATCCAATATGTAGAGTCACCATTTCTTTTTTTCCCTTATTGATACATCACACTGCATAGGAGACATTTTTTTAATTTTCTCTACTTCTAATCATGGCTGTGCTGGTTCCATAGAGATGCAGAACTTTATATAGCAGTAAAAAATGAGTCCACTGTGAGTAAAAGAGACAGGAGGGGAAAAGGCCAGAATCTGCTTGAGGTTCAGACGGTTAATGATGCCAATTTTTTGTCTAAAGAAAGTTTAAATTCTTTGTGAAATGGTTTACATTGATTACCTAAACGCACTAGATGCAATGTTTGCTTCAGTATCGGAAAATCAACCTAAAAACATACAGTTTGCTTTGAATCACAGCCAATTCATTAAATGGTATCTGAGCCATCTTCAAAATGCAAAACCACAGGTGTGGTTCTCCAAGCAGAATTCATAATGATTATTGAGCAAGGTGTGAAAAATGAATTCCTGGAAAGGAAAAAAAAAAACAGTCACGACTGCAACATGTTTACGTAGCTGGTAAACAAGTCAACTCTGAGGTTGTGAAATCCATGCAAGAGCTCCAGCTGGTGCAGCAGAGCGATTATTTTACATGTATACAAGCTCCAGAGAATCGACAGAAAAGGGAAAAGAGTTAGAAGAGAGGAGGAGGAGGTTAGGAGCGGAGTGCAACGCTGGCTGTATGTATGTGGATGTGTGCTTGTGTGTTTGCATGTGCACATCAGTGGTTGGGAGGAATGGAAGGAATTCCCTGCTCTCTCCTGCGTAGGCGGAAGGATTTTGGAGGAGGGTCGCCGGTTGTCATGGCGCGACTGTCAGAGCCGGGAGGCGGCGACACGTCAAGTTCTACACAACATCCACATTCCATAGGCGTCGTGTGTGTTTATGTTCATTGTGGCTTTTTTTTTCTTTCTATTTTTTTTGTTGGTGAAACCAGTTTTCCTTGTGGGCAACACAAACGATAGCGATGGGGACCAGAGCTGTATGTTTTCTGTTTTGTGTGTTGGTGGTGTTGGAGCAGTGAGGATGAGACACAAAAACAGTAAATGATGACCAAAGTGTAAGAAACACCCACACACATGCAGCTGATAAACAAACATGCACAAATTAAAACACACCGGTCGTCTCTCTGCAACAGTTACATTAGATAAAGAGAGATGCATTGTGTGGTAGGTGTTGAAAGCCACCAACAGTGTTTCCTTTGTGTCCTCTCTTTCCTGCTCGTGGACACTGAGGACGACATGCTGGTGACACCAGTAACACACATTCACAACTACACGAATAAAGAAAACAAATCGACCGCGAGCGGCGTGAGACAAAATCAGACAGGTGATCTGAATTTGCTCGACACTAAAAGTCCCACCTGACTGAGGTAATGATATTCTTCAGGCTTCTTGAGGTGAAAGGCGATCCTCTCTTCTTCACTCGCTCCTGCCAGCAGGTAGTAAAACACATGGTAGTTTCTGGAAAAATAAAAACAAAAACAACACATTTCAAGTAAATCAGAGATGGTCAAACGGAAGGCGCCTCCCTGATGATCCGAAATGGAAAAACACTGCAATGAAAAGCAAAGTCATGATTACTTTGTGTTCATTTTAAAGATACTGGTGGAGATGATGCAGAAATTTATTTTCATTATTATAAAATCTTGGGGTTTTTTTGCAGTTGTTTCTCTGCAACCGTTGCACGCATTGCACATGCTGCTGTTAACAGGACATTTTCATTTCCTCATTTCACTGTATATTTTTAATCCAGTATATTTGTGCACTGACGGTGCATTTTCACTTCAGTGCATTTTGTACGTTAGTATATTTTTCTTATTTGTATTGTAGAGGTGGTCGCTTCACTCTTTCTATTTGCTACTGTAACAAGAAAATTTCCCATCTTGGATCAATAAAGTCCTTTATTTCTATTTTATTCTATTATATTCTAAGCTTTGCTGCTATTTCAAAGCCAGGTTACTCTTTGGCACCCACAGAAACAACTAATATCATCAACAAGTATAATTACTAAAGAAACAATCACTTCAATATGTACAATAACCAGCATCATAACAAAGCTCTGGCTCTGCTTATCTTCTGATCTGATATTAACATTCAGTGACTGCGTTGCATGAACACGAACATGTGTAAATAGACACGTAACTATACAATGAGTAATGTGTGGAGACAGACGCAGAGCTGCAGCATTGATAGGCAAACAGCATCCACTGTTGGAAAGGTAAAATCCTGCAGTTTCATTTTCATAAAGCAAATTAAACTAATTCAGCTGAGTAGACGAAATGTGAGTCTAGATGTAAAGTGCGTCTGTCAGGTCGTCAGGTTTAACTGATGTATGAGACGAATAAAATAACCAAACTGTTGGTTCCACTACATGAAACGTCAGGATATCACTGAAGTCAACATCTGGGAGGTGTGAAAGTCAACCGCGGCTTGTTAGGAAATCACTCGCAAGACCAGTGTGTCGGGTTGGTATCAACTTCCCAGGAAAAGAGACCTGACAGCTCAGGTGTCTCGGTTTGTTTGTGAGCGTTCACGCTTTCTATGACGGCGTCGAGCTGCAGCGTAAAGGTTGGAGGTCAAACGTGTGCAGCAGCTGTGCGGTCAAAGTCTTCTTCAAACGGACACTCGAGCTCTTATGGGCCTTTAGTCAGCAATCCATCTCAATAAGAGGCGGCTCCACGGCGAGCCCCCCCACGGCGAGGGCGACCCTCGCCACACCAACACATTAGTGTCAGACCCACTTAGAGCCTAATTCACTCCATGACTCACACTTTGGCAAACACCGAGCCCTCCGAGTTGAATTCACGCAGATGCACATTTTGGCAAAATTCGAACTCCATTTATTTTATTCAACTACTTAGAAAAAACTATGGAAGTATAAAGTTTGAAGAGCAGCGCAGCTTAAGTGTCATAATATTGACTCAACGAAGAAGACGGCTGAGCTAAAGCTGCCAACTATGGATACAATCTTGTTTATTGACGCATTGTGCATATTTGGGACTTGATCGTGAGCATTTCCAAACACGACATGTTAAAAGTTGTCTGCTTTACTGCTCATTACTGCAATGAAACAAGTTGTGCATAAATATACTGTTAAATGCAATTCAGTTTGTGAATTTCCTGCTCACTAAATGAGGCATTTTTGTATTTCTACTGAGAGATTTTGATCATAATCTGCTTTTCTAAGTGCTTACCGCTCGTTGTGCTCTTGATAGACCAGTCTCGACTTCTCCAGGAGGTATTTCTCCACATAAGCTCTGCAAAGAGTTCAGTGCAAATGATTAACTTCCAAAAATCCCCCCTTTTTTTTTTCCTTTTTTAAAAATAAAATAAAATAAGCATTGTTCTCCTTACCCTCTGACAGTGCCGCTCTCCTGGTAGTTCACCTGGATGAACTTGCCAAAGCGACTGGAGTTGTTGTTATGTGCCGTCTTGGCGTTCCCAAATGCCTGAGAGGAAAAAGAGGAAGACGGAGTTAGGCGAAAACAAAAAGCACGCTGGGAAAAATAAATGAGAGCAGGCCACATATTGCATATCACACACACACAGGTTAGAGCCACAGGTCAAGTACTGAGTCGACTTTAGGTGTGGATAATTTGCTGATGGGTCAAACATACAGAGACTTTGGCCTCGTGCCAAACATTGTCCTGAAACGCTGTCAGCCTGGACGGTGCAGAGCGAGCTTTTCCTCTTAGATAGTTTCAAACAGCGTCAGTCCGAGACAGATTAATAACATGTTCTTAGGATCTATTAAAGTCAGAGGCAGACAAATTGCCAGAGCGAGGATGAAGGAGCCGCGGCCAGCAGGCCCTGATGGAAAAAAGCTCCAGCTCAGTGAGTAATGGGATCCATGTGGCCGTGTGGAACATGTGTAGTGGTTGTGCTTTAATAAGACGCTCCAGTATTTCCCCTCGCAGCTCTGTTTATGTTGTATGGCTGCCTGGAGGGGAAGTAGTTTTTCGCCCAATATAAACCCTGCAGTTATTTGTAGCTCTACCACAAGTAAACAAATTCCTCAGTGAATCACTTAGAGCTGTCCCGAGCGCTGCGACTGTGCAGCGGGAGAACACCCCTCCCTGACCCCACCCTTCACCAACACCACTCGCCAGCATCCAAACACGCCGGGAGACGGCTAATGCCAAGCTAATACGCAACACTGCAGCGCTTCGGGCTAATCCTGACGTGCAAATTTGTCGCTGAGGAGTCAAGAAGTTCATCCATCAATAAATTTGACTTTAAAATCAAACGGTCCATGCTGTTGAGTTGCAGGATGAGCCACTGTTGGCTAATGATGATGCTGCTATGCAACACAGAAGACAAAGTCAAAGCTTCATGATGCAACACTTTCTAATCATCTTTGCAAATGAGTCAAAGACAGTTTACTCATGGCTTGTAATACATTTCAGACAAGTGTGATGCACATAATCTTATCCTTGCACATGATCTCCGTATGCATAATGCAGCCTTATAGGGAAATAAATCAGGACAACTATTTAGAAGAAACTGAGTCTGAAAAAATTGAAGATCTGCTTAAGACAAAAAGAAAACTTGCTTGGTTCTCACTTTCTCACTTGGATAGACTGAGCTTCTTTTTAACTTTATTCACAAGAGTTTGTTGACATGCAGAATGAATGCAAAAATGACCTAAGAACAGGACAGAAATACTAAAAGGGAAGATTTGGTTGCAAATAGAAACACAAAGTCAGTTGTATGGAGATGTTTCAGCTACAGAAAGGACGATGGTAACCCAAAGCAGACACTCTGTCAGCAGTGACTTGGAATTGTTAACACTACATGACAAATATATTTCAATTAGCAGCACAAAGCCTTGATTACTAACGCAAAACCAGATCTCAACACCATCAGAAACCTTGTGAGAGGAGTGGCTTGTTTCAGCTGTTTCAAACAGTTCTTCATTTTTCATGCAGATCTGCTCACCTAACAATCACTGTAATCGTTCTAGAATGATCAAATCTTTTAGTTTTTCAAACAATCTGGCGACAATTTGTGTGTTTTTTTGTTTTTTTTCCCTGGTTGCAATAAGTAAAGCAGAAGAACAAAGTTTTTCCAGTATCGTGCAGCTCTAATCTGAAGCTTTATACGATCTCTGTCCCTGTGAAACTTACATTACACCACTGAGATGTTTTTGGGAATCGTTTTGCTGGAGAACTCAGGTCACTTTGGTCTCTCTCCTACTGGCAAACTCGAACAACTGGATCCCTGCTATGAACTCACCCTTCATTTATGACTCACGAAGCCGAACAAATCATTAAAATAGGCAGCCACTGTGGAAAAACACATTCAACACCGCTGTCTGGATTTTTAGAGAAGGGCACACAAGGTCAAACTGCACAACGCTGATGTGGGATTCCAAATATGATGCCTGATGTATTTGATATTCCCAGAGGAGCTGGTTTTCTGTTCACCACTTCATCTGTCTCTGAACCGACTAACCTGGCCGGTTCAGGAACCGCAGGTCAGACGAGGACAGACCAAAATCAGTCATCGTCCTTGAGTAGCAAGAACTTCCTGAGCAGACGGCCAATAAAAACCGAGCGCTCATGCTGCTTTCAGGGAGAGGAACCCAGGTCAGACATGTCAGATATCGGACCTTTCAGCTTTTTGCTAACATTCAACATTTTGTGTTGGGCCGGCAGGAAGCAGGATGTGGAACAACTAAAACACAGAAAGCTGATTTATGCTCGAGCGCTGTGCATTCGTCCACCTGGTCTGTGTAAAGAAGACGCACAGTTTAAGGGGACGTTTTTATAGCCGACGGTTTCTAAACTTGGCTAACTCCGTATCAACAGCGATAAAACACAAATCTCCCAACAGAAGGGACGATATTTCCGACTGAACTTCTTTCCTACAGTGAAAACGAAGCTACAAAATTCAAAGAAGACCCCAATAAAGTCTCCAGTGGGAGCCAGCTGTCATTAGATCACTTCCAAAATCCCACATTTCTAGGAATATGAAGATAATGCCAGAAACAGTACATCATCTGAGATATCTTCTAATGAACAACAGAGCAATCTAAAGCAACACGCCAACACACGAAAACATCCATCAACTCCAAACATATGTGCAGAAGGGTTTTTTTTTTCCTACCCACCACCAGAAACACCAAACAGACCTGAATGCAAAGCAGCAACAAGACAAGTTCTGATTTCAGAAACTCTGATGCAAAAATGATTAAACTGCACTTTTTGCTCTTTCCACCAACACAATCCACCCACAACAATGCAAATGTGTTCTTTGTCAGAAGTTATTCTAAGGCGGTAGAGGTTGAGGTGAAGTGAATAATAAACATGAGAAGATTTCTAACTCACAAGTATCTGAGGGAGGATTTCTCTCCCGTTCAAATGGTCACAAAAGACTTGCAGGGACAGCGGAGTTAAAACTGTTTGTACAGACGTGATATGCACCACTTCAGTCCTTCCAGTAGGTCAACAACATTATTCTTGGCTCCAGACCACAGGCTGAGCCAAAGGCAGACCAATGACAGACTTGAGATGGTGCCAGTGTGTTCTGGGTGTAAAGTGTCTGAATACAGACTCGGTCAAAGTCGTCCAGACAGACGGATGCCACAAGGATGATGTGATGCTTTCATCAGTCAGGCTCTCACACACTGACCAGTTTAGTTAAATACTGTGAGAAAACCGCCTAATTAGACGTCTTTGGGGTTGTGGCTTTTAAAATCAATCAATTACATTTTGGGAAAGTGAGCTCAGGTTTTGCCTCCAGATACATCAGCCGGATATAGTAATTATGGTCCAACACTTGACTTTTAACATTTCACTCTCTAAGTCAACAGTTACCAATGGTTTTTTGGGGTGTTTTTGGTTTTGTTTTTGTAATCTGACCTGCCCTGATCCTAAACTTGTCTGTATTTAAAGTCTCTTTGTATGGTCAAGTTTGGATTTATACAACTACCACTTCACATTGTACTCGGAGGAAAGTTTTTACTTACATTTTGATTATTTTTAGCTTTAACTTTTCTGCTTGTTTACTATGTCGTTTTCCTGCGCTCTCATTTGTAAAACCAATTGCGATTGAAAAATTCTGATTCTGTTACTGTTGCACATGAGTGTGACACAGTCATATGCAAGCAACAGCTGCAAGCGGTTCTAGTCAATACTGGGATCTGCGTTACATATGTTTTGTGATTTCTTGTTTGCGTTTCCACCGTGGATCTGCAGGGCAAACACTCCACTAACATCCCCAACATGAACCAGTCATCAAGTTGACCACTTGTAGCACTCTAATTAATCATGTCTTCCATATCTGATGAAGTTGATGCTGTTTTGTCAAATTTGAATCTGTCTGAACATCAGTGATCATGTGTGGGAACAGCTGTTTGGATTTTAAATGTTGTCTTTTTATTTTTCCTGATATTAGTCTAAAGATGATCAGAATTTGTACTCATAATAATTTAAGGACATTTTTCACTCAAGCATGTTGATCTTATGAGTAAAACATCTGAGTCTTTAGTACAAACTGTCCTGATTGGATTGATTTTTATCCACATTTACTGGGTTAAAAGCTTTGCAGTCATCAGATGTCTCTTTGCATTAATTCTTTATGTCTTTATAGTTGGCCGAGTCGGGGCTACGGCTACAACCCAGAGACTAAACAACAGTCTTTGCCAGTCTTGGAGCCTGTAGCCTCCAAGACTGACATTAAAAGCAAGCCCATCATTTTCCTTAACTTGTAGCATGAATTCATCCCCGAGAGTCAGACTGTCAACTCCAAGTTTTAGTGTAACATGCTGAGGGGCAACATTCAGTGCAAAAAAAACCTGACTTGTGTCACAATAGCAACAAGGTGCTCCAGCATGTCAACAGGATCCCTCATGTTGCGCCTAAAACACAAAGGTTTTCAGCTGCACCACATTTGCTCTGCTCACTAGGGGGCCCTGGGCTCCTGTTACCTCCTACGTTCCCCCAGAATGAAATTCAAGTAGAGAGGTATCATTTTGACACAAAACCGGAAATCCAATGCAGATGCAGGAAACGGACTTCCAGAGACCGTTAGAAATATGGCAGGAGCATTGGGAGCAGAGTGTCGCTGCACAAGCTGACTACTTTGAAGAGGATGGCGACCAAATTTAAATCAGGCACTATTCTTGCGTTATATTGGCACAGACTGTAAAATAAAAACAACCTCATGCCACATATTAAATCCCCTCAGCACAACTGTGTGGATAAATGTGCTGATGTTTTTTTCTCTAAGGCACATAAAGCTGTACAGTCACAATTATCTAACATTAAAGATAAACTATAGTTCATGTAGATTGTTCAGGTTGGATTGATACCTAAAAATAACTCAGTGTGTCTCCTCATTTATTAAATCTGTGCTAATAAATTTTTTTTAAAAAATAAAAGGTTTACATTAGCAGCACATAATGCACAGGGTCATCACCAAAGAGAAAAACAAAAAAAGGAAGCCA